ATTTAGATAAGTATTTGTGCCAAGTTTCAAGTCTATTAACTCAAGGAGTAAAATTTTTCATACAAACTTTCATCCTCTAATTTAACCCCTTCAGGGGTGAATTTTGAAAAATCCTTTCTTAGTGCACCCCTAGACCTCATAAGGAACCTACGTGCCAAATTTGGAGTCTCTAGACTTAGTAGTTTCGGCTGTGCATTGATGTCAGTCAGTCAATCAGTCAGTTTCTTCTTTTATATATTTAGATTAAAGGAGAACGGTATTTGCTTGCAGAGTATGAAGGACGGATATATTGGTGAATAGTTAAATAATAAAAAATATTTATCATTAAATTTGTTTTTGTATAAACACAGACATGTCATTTATATCTTCTAATATATAAAATTCTCGTGTCGCGGTGTTTGTGGTTAAACTCCTCCGAAACGGCTTTCCCGATTCTCATGAAATTTTGTGTGCATATTGGGTAGGTCTGAGAATCGGACAACATCTATTTTTCATCCCCCTAAATATTAAGGGTAATCCACCCCTAAATTTAATTTTTTCAATTTTAGATATTTTTTTTTTTGTTTTAATTACTTTATGATACAGCATTAGTAAATACATACAACCCTAAAGTTTCACCATTCTACCACCAACCCCTATTTTTTTATGGCGGTACGAAGTTCGCTGCGCCACCTAGTAATATATAATATTAAATTAATTTCCTTGTGTCTTGTTTCATTTTCGGCAACTTGAGATACACGAATTAGCATCACGTTTAGCGCTAAAGGAAATCTTGTTTTAATTTCGGTAACTTGAGATACACGAATATGCTTCACGTTCACCTTAGGTACAATTTCATCCCCTCTTAAGTTTTATGATAGATTTTTCTATCTAGGTAGGTACACAAGAAACATAAAGCACAGCATTTATGTTCCAAAACTACAAAATAGAGTTTTTTAAAAATGGGGTGTTTTTCAGTTAAGGATAATTGGTTGTCGGTTTTTCTGTCACGCGGTCCTTTACTTAGGAATTCATCGAGTTGAAATTAATATAAAAATACTCAAGTTTTCTATCCCTTGGATCTGTAAAAAACCACGTTCAATTCACGGTGTAAAAACCAGTTTGAATACATAAGAAACTGAATACATACTTAAAAGTACAGAGGGTTCATAAATCATTTATGGGTCAAGGTATACATTTCTGTAATAAGATTCCTAATGATATCCTTGATTTGCCTCCTCATAAATTTATAATACACATTAAAAATTGCTTACTTAGGAAAGGATATTATAATGTCAATCAATATTTGAATGATAAAACGGCCTGGTTGTAATTTTACCGGTAGATAATTTTTCAAAAGTAAGGCTCCTCATCAACATCCTATCTTAGTCCACTGCTGGACATAGGCCTCTTCAAATGCACGCCACTGAGATCGATCTTGGGCTACTCGCATCCAGTTCCTGCCAGCCAGCTTGTAGAATATAATTAATGTGAATGAGTATAGCTCACGCGCCTTAAAATACCAACATGGTTATTCACATTTAAGAAATAATCGATTATAAATACAAACGAGAAATATTCATATTTACAATATAATAAAGATGAGGTCATCGTAGTATAATAAATAAAATAAGAAGTTTAAAATTGAGAATATTCGATGATTCAGGCATTTTTTCTGAGTTTAAATTTTATTTGACGTTTATCGATTTTCTGTATTGATGTATATTTGATTCTGTCTTAGACGACACCGATATTTGTTATTAAAGCCCCCCCCCCCCGCTCTAAAAGCTAAACTATTGTCTAAAAACCTGGAAAAGTTCATTATAATAGTGCTTTCCATGAACTTTTATGGACGGTTAAACTATAACGGTTAAGATAAATTTGTTATTTAAATAATCTTTCAATTTTGGTTAAAGACAATTTCTTACCTAGTGAAAATCCATATAAGAAAACATTAATAATGACATAGATGGAGTTATTGTAGCGTGAAACCTTGCATTGCAACAAAATCTAAAAAAAACTATTTAAAAACCACAATAAAACAACATTAGTTCCAAAACTCTACCGCGAATACCAACGGCGACAGCTTCTGAGACGCGCTAACGTTATGTTTTTATAAACTTGAAAAGATCGGCGTTTATACTTCATCATCCCCTTCTCAGGGGATGATTGCATCAGATGAAGCATGTAAGGCCCTTCTGACCATAAGCATGAACTATGGGTGTGTTTTAGTCAGTAAGAGTCTGACATAACCTTGCAGCTGGCTGTAGGATGGATGTATCCATGAGGATTTCACACCCGCTCCGCCAGGGAGGACCAAAAAAAATTTACGGAAAACATTCATATTAAAAATAATAATAAAATCGAAGTGATTTTGAGTTTGAGACGCAATTATACATAGATTGATATTAATTGGTTTTTCTGAGTTCCGATATAGAAAATAAAGACTCCTGCTCAAATATATTGTGGTAACTACAGTCAACTACGGATCCCTACACTGCGCGTGGCACGTCACGCACTTGGCCGGTTTTTGATTATTATTTCGTCAGTTTATTATTTGTCACTATGTTCCATACGAAAAACGTCCCTACTTTGAATGGTGATTAAGCGTGGCACTGCACCAAGTGGCACAATCTGTTTTGCAGAGATCTATCGGGAACAAATTTTTTCACACTATTTTTTTGTATGTTTGAATGTATCAGTCACTCCTTTGACTAAGAATACCCAAACTAATTTAAGGTGTCACCTTCTGTTTCAATCGAACAGCATTGAATTTATCGATATTTAGCGGTATGAGGACGGCCGTACTGAAATTCGTCACTGTTATTTTTATGTTCAAAGAGTGGCAAATAAGCGTATGGCTCGCCTGAAGCACAGTAATATTATCTATACAGTATTCTATCTTCATACAAACAGTCGGAATCCGTGACATACCTACGCCCCCGGTGGGCATCCACCGGGGGACGCGCGAACGCGCCGCAGCGACGACCGAACTGTGTAAATTGTTTTTAAGCAGTTAGCCGTGCTTAAACGTGCGATTTGTATTGTAAATATGTCATTGAATTAAGTATATACCTACATAATTTAATATGGCAAAGAGCAATAGTCGATATTGTGCTGTTTTTGGTTGCTTGAACTAAGATTTACCTACATTACCCGACTGCACCATGCCTTACAAATAAAAATAACATGTATTTTATAGAACACTTCCTAATTCACTCACAACAATTATTTTTTTACATAGAAAATAAAATATTTACAATCACAAAACTAGAAAGAAACTCAATTATGTAGACGAAATTAAAATACTGTAGACGGGCAGCCCTACCGCGTGTTTACGCGCTCTACCGCTCGGCCGTAGGCAGTTATTTCAAGGACAGGGCCGAGTCACAATACTGTATAGATAATATTACCGTCCTATTGACGCTTGCGATGCCAAAAACATCATTAGCGCCATTGCCTACCCTGACCCAATACTCTACCCCGTGGAGCCTAACTCACCGACAGAAACACAACACGACTTCAAGATAGTGTTATTTTACTGTGGTCATCTCTAAGGTGGTGGTTACAGACGGGTGCTCCAATTCGAGCAGAATATAGGCTAGGAATCTCTTAAAGTTCTATAAAGCTGTATTAATTGAGATTATAATTTTGTATTAAATTCAAGTATGTAAGCTTCTATATTTTGCCAGTTAATAACCCCGGAGCCTGTAAACAGTTGAAACATAAAATAATGCGCCTATGTTTATTAAGCTAGCAAAAAATTTTCACAGTGAGGAGAACGCAGTCGATGCAGCAATTGATGGAAACTGATACGCCCCCTGCACTCTCTCATGAGGTAAAAAGCTCACCTTAGTAACGTATAGGGATGATTACGGGGTAAAGTAAACGAAATACTATTTTGTCCGACAGTTAGATTATAAAAAAATAATGAAAACTTATTTTTCCTTTTTTTTAGTTTTAATCTTCCCTATTGGGAAAGGCAAAGGCAAAGCAATGCAGCCATGGTCTTATTTTAGTATTTTTTAGTATTAGTCTTCCTTTTTTTACATTAGAATGTGGGTTGACGTATTCTAATGTTTCTTGGAGTGTTTGGCACAAAATGTATCGAGTCAGCTTTCTCGACAAGCTTTTGTGAGGTATTGAACACTACAATAAAGTTCTCAGATGAACTTGACCGATGTAGCGAATATTTTAAAGATTCCGTTAATTCTTCAGTTGCGCAGACGATTTTAACCAAAATCACACTAATTTTATTTCACAATATCCACTATGAACAAATTAAAAAATATTTAAATATAACGCCAACCGCACTCGATAAAATCCCGCCAAAAACTCCCTTATCTTTCGTTTTGTCAATCAATCAAAAAATTACAAAGATAAAGCGCGTCTCAGTTTCGGATTGGGGGATTGTGCCGTCACTTCTAAGTCAAAATTGTACCAAGACGTGACGTCATGCGACATTTCAAATCAATATAATCTCTGTAATGTATTGATTATGTGAAAAAGAAAAATACGTCTAAAACACTTTTTGATAAAACTACCTGATAGACAAAGAAAAAAAAGTTTGTCATCATCCCCTTGTACTGAGAAGAACCGGCAAAAACTCAGAAATGGCTGTTTTTTCTCCCTTTACTATTAAATACAGAGTCGTCAAGTTGAAAATTACTTCATAAAGAGATGATTCATGAAGTCTCCTTCCATCACATAATAATTTAGTGTAACCCAAACCATACACGATAATCAATTGCCTTCAATAGACAATTGAGTCAAATCTTTCATCTCATCTTTACTGTGATCATCTCTAAGGTGGAGGTTACAGACGGGTGCTTCAATTCGAGCGGAAATCCAGGCCCTATCTCTTAAAGTTCTCTAAAACTGTGTTAGTTGACATAATAATTTTGTATTCAATTCAAGTATGTAAGCTTCTATATTTTGCCAGTTAATAACACCAGTGCTTGTAAACAGTTGAATATAAAAAATGAGCCTATGTTTATTAAATCAGCAAATTTTTTTCACAGTGAGGTGAACGCAGTCGATGCGGCAATTGATGGAAACTGATACGCCCCCTGCACTCTCATGAGGTAAGAAACTTACCTTAATAACGAATAGGGACGATTACGTGGTAAAGTAAACGAAATTCTATTTACTCTGTCAGTTAGATCATCAAAAAATAATGGAAACTTATTTAATGTTTTGTCAATCAACCAAAAAAAATACAAAGATAAAGCTCGTCAAAGTTTGGGAGTGGGGATTAATTATGTGATAAAGAAAAAAATCGTGTAAAATACTCTTTGATAAATCTACTTGATAGACAAAGAAAAAAAAGTTTTGTCATCATCCCCTTATACTGGGATGAACCGACAAAAAACTCAGAAAGGGCTGTTATTTCTCCCTGTACTATTAAATAGAGAGTCGTCAAGTTGAAAATGTCTTCATTAAGAGATGATTCATGAAGTCGCCTTTCACATTATTTAGTGAACCCCAAATCACACACGATAATCAATTGGATTCAATAGACAATTGAGTCTAATGTTTGATCTTTTAATAATCTCAATAACTACTAAACGGATTTTCATACGGATTTCGCCTTTCGAGCTGAATATTTTTTATGGAAAGTGCATGCCATGTTCGATAATAATAATTATAGTCTACAATGAAGCAAAGCTAGAGTGGGTTACTAGTATAATGGGATTGAAAAAAAAATATCTTACTAAAATGGGAAAATAAAAACTTAAAACCATTAGTTCCTACGCTAGCGAAGCCGCAGGCCGACAGCTAGCTTAAAATAAATTACGTAAACAAAGGTCACATCACATAATTTCAAAGTTTAAATCAATATTCAGTCTAGGCTGTTACAAGCACTTGTGTAGGTCAAGAAGCTACACCATCGGTTCGCAAAACTACGGCGGGAGACCTATAACATTAAACAATGCAATACTAAGATCCAGAAATGAACCTTTTGCCTAATTAGCGTAGCTCCAAAAGCTCCAAAGTAAGTACTGTAAGCTTGTGTAATGGGATACTAGGGTAACGGATAGAATATATATACTGATACATATATAAGTTTGTATAGAAATGTTTATATAGAAATACATATAAAACATCCATGACTGGAGTACAAATGCTTGTGAATGTGATGTGATATATACACACAAACATCTGCCCCCATCGGGATTCGTACCCGGGACCTTTCGAGTAGGCGACACCTTGAAACCCGGCGTACAAACTCGGCCAGAAGGTCGTCGAAAATATACTTTATACAAATAATTATTAGAGAGTGTTTTGCATCGTAATCTTATACTCAGAAAATTTTAAGGGTTAAGATGGCATTACAGTCATTAGTGTGCAAACTAGTCGACCATAGATGTTTTCAGTAAAAACCATCTTTGACTGTGATTGCGCATTGTATGAGTACGTCAGGTTAAAAAATGCTGCATTTTATTTTGGACCAGTGGCCGTCCCAACGTGGATCATAACCTATATGTCAAGAAAATTTCATCTATATCCATTCAGTCGTTTTTCCGTGATTGAGGAACAAACATACAAACTTCCATAATTAATATTAGTAGGTTTTCAGTGAAAAAACGAAATTCCTCAACTGTTCTCAATAGCGATAATACTGTTATCTGTTTATCTTTCTGATATACCTATTCGTCTACCGTTTAATGTTTTTAATGATAATAAAGTTTATTGTTTTGGAATGCTTTTTAAAGAACATATGACTTATTTGAGTGTATTCAAATAAGAGTACTATTTGTACATAAAGTATGAATTAAATATTTTTGTTTTCCATTATCTGTAGTATGTACCTACTTACATCCGTATATAATACAGGTCGCGGCCCGTAACTCTACTTTCATAGTGTTATTCAAATTCAAATTCAAAAACTATGATGCATTTGCAAAAAAAAGTCAAACCCATAACTTTAACACGAGATTTAAGAACAAGCTTGCCGTTTCATGTTTCAGACTCCAAAAATCAAGAGGTTCATTTCTGGGTTGTAGTATTGCATTGTTTAATAAAGTTCCCCTAGATCTGGTTGAGCTTCCACTGACTAAATTTAAATCTCAGATCAAAAATACTCTTATGAATAAGGGCTATTATAAAGTTGATGATTATCTGAATGATCGTAATGCATGGACATAGTGTTTCTTATAATTTGTTATTTAATGGGTATTAGTCATTTTTTATAACAGTAATATTGTACCTATCTAATGTCGCTTCCTATATACTAAATATAATGTTAACTATAACATTTATTGTAACTACATATTTATATTCTAAATGATGTAATGGAAGGTGACTTCAGACGTATCTCTGAAGTTATTTTTCAACTTGACGACTCTGTATTTAACAATACAGGGAGAAAAAAATAGCCCTTGCTGAGTTTCTTGTCGGTTCTTCTCAGTACAAGGTCTCCCGCCGTAGTTTTGCGAACCGATGGCGTAGCTTCTTGACTTTCACAAGTGCTTGTAACAGCCTAGACTGAATAAATGACTTTTCATTTCATTTCATTTCTAGCGCTGAATAAAAAGTTCAATATTTCGCAAACGGATCCCCTATTCAAAAAATAGCCTTAGAAACCACTTAAGTAATTTCAAAGGTCCTATTCAACAATGGGGTAAATAATGAAAAACCCTAGGTTACATGTAGGGTAGCTAACCTAAAAAAATTTTTCAAAATTTTATTCTACCAATTTTTCGATGTGATCAATATACATATCTCCACAAAATTACAGATCTCTTGTGCATATAGTCTCCAAGCAAAACCAGGGACGGACAGGCAGACATTACGTAACTATAAGGGGTTCCTTGTCAGGACTACTGAATCCTAAAATGTATCTGAGCTTCGTTGAAACCCTTGGTGCCTAACAAATGCGGCCTTCGTGGCCGATTGTTTTGTACGGCGTGTCGCCTACCTGAGAGGTCCCGGGTTCGAATCCCGGAGGAGGCAGAGGTTTGTGTGATTAATACAAGCAGTTGTACTCTAGTCATAGATGTTTGATATGTTTTTCTATATAAATATACTTATATATGTATCAGTAGATGTATTCTATCCGTTACCCTAGTATCCCATAACACAAGCCTACAGTGCTTACTTTGGGGCTAGGTTAATTCGTGTGAGTGTTGGAAATACTTATTTATATAAGCAAGCTTAACTGTTCCATTTCTTTTTAGAAATACATCCCCTAAGTGGTTAAATGAAAATCATTATGAAACTTCTTCAGTTTTGTACATAGAAATCTGAAAATGGCTAAATGAGCTTATTGTATACCTGATTGCGAATTCATCCTTTAAGGGGTACAAATAGGTGGTGTATGTCTGTACTAGTAAAACAAACTTCGTTAATCTTGAAAATTGAAATCAGACAATTGGCAAATGAGCTTATGATCGAACTTTATCCCTTAATTTTCTTAAGGACTGACTCGTTTCCTTGCATCTACTATATTAAAAATGGAGGATTCCTAAAACGAGGAAGATTACGTAAAGCGGGCCTATTTATCAATAATTTTATTAAAAAAAGTTTCGTAAAATTTACAGGAGCATCTGCGCGCTATGGGCGATAATAACTGCGCTGGCGCTAGTTAAGTGCGCTGGCGCAGATCCTTTCGCTTCTGCAGGTATGTCTCCACTTCTCTACTAAAGTGTTTCTTACGCGTGTCTGGTCACTACTCTTACCATGACAGTCCACAGCACCGGCAGTGATTGTATTGTAAAATTTACGGAATAAACAAAAGTAAAGAAAAATCTCATACTATTTCAATAAGTGTGTCGAATTGTCATTTAATCAGTCATTTGATATTATCTAAATACTGCGTTACTAGTACAATATGCATAATTATGTAAGTTATGAATGGAACTATTTAAACTTATTTGTACTTTTACAGTTGATGACGGCGAGGACTTCAGCGTTGCCGTGTACGGTGTCGCGCCAGACACGTCGAAGACCAGCGGGGCGGCTCTAGCCGGGGTAGCTGCGCTGGTACTACGCACCGCTGGCCTGCACGCTGAACCGCAAAACCCACCCGGAATCTGCACCGGACCGAATGTAGATCCCGATAAGTGCGTTGCTGCCTCACTGGCAGCGCTATCAATCGGGCATGCTCACGCTGCGCTGTTGCCAGTCCGCGCGACTGCCGTGCCTTCAGCTCCTCGACTCCGCGACTCCGGCCTCGAAGAACTCGGAGATGCTGCGCCTCCGTGGCGCCGCACCTGCCTCGCCACTGCGCCACCCGCGCGGTCCCTACTCGACTTCGCGGATTCGCGAATTGCATCCGTCTACCGTTTAACACCACACGACTTAAGCTACAACGGGTGAGCATTCAGACTCAATGACATGATTTCCTAGCTAAAATTACAAAAGATAAATGACCTACTTCTAATTGTTTCAGATATCAGTGTAAATCTAAAAATTGCACATTCGTGCCAAATTGGTGTACCAGTGATAATTCTACATGTGCTACTGTACTGACAAGTGATGAAAGTGAGAAAAATGTTTTAGCAAATCTAGTTCTCGATAACAAATTATACGCGAGTGTTACTTTCCTGGGACCCAGATTTATGAAAATAGTTGAAATCCTTAGTGATCGTCCTTTCGTTGTGTGTGATAAAACTCTACAGTTGTCTTCTTTTAACGACAAAAGAAAAGTACTGGGTCCTCCACCGTGCCAGGGCACAGATCCGTGTCCATTTGAAGCTAATCGCTTAATAAAAATTGCAAATGTGCGTGCCCTTGCGCGATACCCGAGTGCCTTACGCTCTCTCGTCCGACTCTCATTTACTGCTGAAGAATTATCCAACTTAACGTCGCTGGCAGTAAATGGGCCTGAAGAGGCAGCACGCTTATTTGTCGCTGCACATCCTTCTGCCACATGGCCTGGAGAAGCACGCGTTGCTGTACTGCTGCCCGCCAGCACTATGAGGGAAGCGTACGAAGCTCGTTCATTCGAAAGCGCTGCAGAACTCGTGGAGAGAGAGCTGGAGCACGAACGTCAACCGCGAGCGGCACGTTTCAAAGTGGAGGTATTCGACGATGCGTGCTCAGCGCCGCGAGCGTATAAATACCTGACGGATGCCCTGGGAACTGGGGAATATGGTGCGCTCTCGGCGTTAGCTGGGCCCGCTTGTGGGGCCGCTTTCGCCGACGTGGCGAGGCAAAGTCCCGCTCACGCATTGCCCGTACTGGCGTATACGCCTCAAACGCCGCCTCCACCGCCAGCTACGGCTTTGGCGTTACTCGCAGCTGGCGACGCTCGCCAATATTCTGAACTATGGGCAGCAGTACTCGCTCGGATGCACTGGCGGCGCTTGGCAATTCTCAGTGAAACCGCAACACATTCTTCTCTCGATGTTGCTAAGCTGCAATCTTACGATGTCAACCACTTTGAGCTCGTCGATGATGGCACCGGCATCCACAAAGATCTCATTGCTCAGGTAAGAGTCAATTTGAAGAACTTTTTGACAGTCTCAGAATTTAGTGCTTCTTTTGTAAAAATAATGGCAATCCAACACAATGGCACGCCTTATGATATTCGGCTAACATAGCCAATAGACTCTTGCGATACATTTACAAGCAAATCTTAATTCGAACTCCTCAGCGCAAACAATTAATATAATTTATAAAAAGACAATAAAGGTATATATTTTTTGCGAAAGTGCTAAAATCTGTGAAGTTAAAATACTTTAATTAGGTTACCTTACTTGCAATCATTCAATTTATGACAGGTCGGACAGCAAAACCGTTTAAAAATTACTTTTAAGTACTGCGCCTACCTAAGCAACGTGCCAGAAACGTGAATGTCTACCGACATGTAGCATGATTCTGGTATGACTGGCATTCTAGGAACCCACCAGGGTGACATGCCAGAGACTTTTCAGAGTACAACGGCACATGAGACAATGTCGGCGTCTGATGAAGATCAAGATGCTCTTGCTTATTTACAAAAATAATCTTAATATTCAAAACAGAGAAGACGGTTTTAGGTACATCATATATGGAAAAAAGTTAAATACTGCTGGCACCTTACGTTGTTATGAAGGAATTATATACACACACGGTCTTTCTTGAACCAATTCAATATATTTTGTTTTAAATTCTAAATAGTATTTCATTGTAACTGACATAGGGGCTATCCATAAATTACGTCACACGTTAAGGGGGAGGTAGGGGGTCGACGAAGTGTGACATCGTGTGACAAGGGAGTGGGAGGGGTCCTAAATTTCGTGACGTCACATTTCAAAATCTATTATAATCTAAGTGTTGAAACTATTACTTTACGAAAACATTAACAAACCAAACGAGAACAAAGTGGTGCTATGCCAGTTATAAATAATTTAAAGGAGTGGGTTCAATGGCCATGGACTCAAGATTATTGAGTTTGTATCTTTAATTTAATTATAATGCTATTAATTTTTTGTTTTGTTAATTTCTTTAATTAATAAAGTCAATACTTTTTTGTTTCTTAATTTCTTTAATTTACATAGTCAATCGTTTTTTGTTTGGTAATTTCTTTAATTAATATAATGAATCGTTTTTTTTTGTTTTGTTAATTGTTTGATTTGATGTTACTGTAATATGAAAAGGCGCAACCCGTCAAAACTGTTCTATGATTATAATGTTCGAGCAAGCAGCGGATAGGCGTCAAGATAACATTTAGCGTTGGTATAAATAAAATAAAATTCAATAGGTATTATCGATATGCCCGCGCGGGCAGCTAACTGTGAGCGAGGCAGAAAGTATGCATATCGATATTACAGAAAGGGAAGCGCACGCGCTGCACACAGGTGGATAGTGAATAGAAATGGTAGGGCGGAGTAAGCATACAACAGCAGCGAAAGCAAACAAGTGTTTCCTAAACTATTGGCATGACTTTTCAATGTGTTGAAAAGTCTTATAAAATTTTTACTAATTTTACATACAAACAAAAACAAATTAGACCAAGAAATAACAATACGAGTATGCAATTTACGAAAGCTTTTTGAAATCTGATTCGGACGTGATAAAGATAATGAGTGATGTTTGGTTCTTTCTTGCAAAAATTTTGTAGCCCTTGACCCATACGTCTGTAATATTTTATTTTCCACGGTCAAGTGATCGTTAATAAATATCCTACTGTCACCTTTGATTCCCAGGTCAGCCGAAACTATTGTTAACTTCTTGGTAACTAATTGGTAGTTAGTAGCCACGAAATCTTCTTTTAAGTACCTATTATGAACTGATAAAATAATTGTTTTGTTATCTTTATTTATCATTTCTCATGGGCAGACGGGCAATATAATTTAATTATCTTTTAGATATAGTGCAGCCATTAAGGTTTCCAATTTTGGCGAAAATTTCAAAAAAAATAAGTTTTCTGGCTTTGTGACTGGAATTGCCTTTATTTCAATATTATCTAGCCGTGACCTCTACTCAAACTCATGTAAAGCACCTGCGAATCTTTCAAAACATTTCTCCAGAAGATTTACTTCTTTTTTTGTTTTGTGTGATCCTTGAATTACATCATTTATCACGGACACTTTACTAGAGAGCGTCTCCACGGTCTGATGCATAAAGTCGGGAGACGACTTCATATCAGTTACATTCGTCTTTATAGTTTTTAGATAAGCGATATCACTGAGATTCAAAATGTCAGCTTGAATAGATTTCACTGCTATCTGTGCTGACACCCGTTTGAGCTCTAGAGCTATACTCTCCATATCTGAAGGTGTGGGCGACTTCGCAGAACTCGTTTTTCCAGAAGTAAGGGCAACTCCAAATCCTTGACAGGAGGAACACTTCCAGATATTTTTTTCTATCACTGAGCTTCCGATACACCGCCTCAGTTATTTCAGCATAGGGAAAATCGTAGCGACACTGACAGACAAAACTCTGAACTCCGTCAATAAATTCGAAGTCACAGCACTTACAATTTCAAACATTTTATTTTACATAGGTTAAGTAATAGTTTGAGAACCGTAATTGTTTCTATTATCGCAGCACGGCTGCGGTAAGTGCGCTTACTGTCCGCCATCCACGGACTGACTGTGAAACTGAGATTTTTGCTATTTACCCTTAGAACCTTAGTCCTTATTAAATTTATCGTCGTTTCTATTTCTATCTTTTCTATCGAATTTTGAAGGAAACTTCTCAGTAAAAATTCTTCGCCGTAGACTTGCAAATAGTAAATATTTTTCCATTCAATTGTTTTCCACGCGAATATGAATATTACAAGCCGCCAGCTACCTCAGTTAAATTCCTCTAATCTTAAGACACCTCGCGCACTAGACGGCCACTAGTTGACCGTTGTGGCCCAACTATTTATTATACTACTTTGACGACCTCCGTGGCCGAGTGGTTTGTACGCCGGGTTTCATGGCTGTCGCCGACTCGGGAGGTCTCGGGTTCGAATCCCGGTGGGGGCAGATGTTTGTGTGATGAATACGAGCATTTGTACTCCAGTCATGGATGTTTAATATGTATTTATATAAATATACTTATATATGTACAGTATATGTATTCTATCCGTTACCCTAGCATCCCATAACACAAGCCTTATAGTGCTTACTTTGGGGCTAGGCTAATTGGTGTGAGTGTCGGAAATATTTATTATTATTTATTATTATTATTATAACTATGTATTTAATGTAGTTGGTTGTGGCCAAGCGCGACGTTCGTATGGTTTCTTTAGTCAATCTGGTCGTGCCCGTCTAGTGCGCGAAGTGTCTAAGTGTTCAATATGTTTTTTTTATATGTTTACTTACATTAGTTTAAACTTCGAACATTTGGTGCGTTAATACGTTTTGTTAATAAACATCCACAACACACACAGTGGGCGAAGCGTGCGGCCTCCTCGAATCTTCGTATAGTGTACGCTTGTTTGGAAGATGCGCGCGAGGTCAGAGCCGCACTGAGCGCCGGACATGCAGCAGGCCTCACGCCTACTGCCGGAGCCGTGTGGATACTGCCCGGCACACTGCCAGATGGCTGGCTGCAACCGGACCGGGCTGAGTAAGTTATATTCCTTCAATACAGTTCTGCAATAGCATGCAACCAATACAGTTCTGTTGCTAGAACCTTACTGCCTGTGCAGTACTGTGATCGTTGCATAGCTCATTCTCTTCAGAATGCTTTCAGCTTTATAATATGACTTTGTAAACTTACTTTTACAAAGTAATAATGATGATGGTTAATTTATTTACTTTAGAAGGTAACAGCACTTTCTGTTTAAAAAAAACATTTTATAAAACAATTTTTACCTACCTACCTAAAGAAGAACCAATTTAGTTCCAAAGAAGAAGAAAGAACGAAAAGCGTTTAACAATTTAGATTATTTAGATAGCGTTGTATTTATCAAAATTGACTTAATATATGTTAGGAGAAGCAATAATAATATATTTTCAAAACACACACGAAATAGTTGGTTAATTAATTAACTTCAAAACTGCGTAAAAACTTTTTGCTCAATATAACTTTTCTTTAAGTATGGACCGTCAAATCAAAACTTAAAACTACCACTATTAATAAACGAAGACTAAGCTTGGATTACTTACTCCATGTTTTGTATCTGTTCATTGAAAGACAAAGGGCATTTGAGTGACATGAACAAAACACGGCGTAACTAGACTAAGCTTATACCATGTTTTTATTAATATGGGGGAAAATGTTAGGTGGACCGATTGATGTGTCTGGAAGGATAAAACAAAAGGATTATGATGATTTTTACACAGTTCCGATGACTGCGGGCCTTCATTATCAGCGATGGCCGAAGGTCATTTGCGCGCAATACCCGCCTGGCTTGCCGGGTGGAGTGAAGCCAAGCGGACGGAATGGGAGAAACGCTGTCCTGGCTGCAAGGCTGACGCGGCGCTACTATATGACGCGCTGCGACTGTGGGCGGGAGCGCTGAGGCGTCTACTTGCCGCTAAACCTACCTCACTAGATGACCTGCATCGGCCAGACCTCGTTAGGTTAGTAACCATTAATACCAGTATAATGTACAAAGCGCTGTGACGAATTCCTTTGTCACACAAGGTAGCACGCTACTTACTTACTGTATGACGCGGCGCGATAACCGATTCCTCTCAGTCACACAAGATATCACGCTGCTGTTCATGACCTCGTATGACAACGTCAATACTAATACTATACACACTTCGAGCACTACATCGCCTAAAACACTTTCTCTCTTCCGGTACCAAAGTCGCTCTCTTATTCTTCCTATCCTCGACTACGCTGACATCTGCTAATAATTCTTTCCAACTTGCTCAGCCATTAGAGCTGAGTAAGTTGGAATGAATTTTCTTGGAACTTTCACATTTATAATAAAATTAGTATCGTATATCTAAAATAGTTGATCCAATATCAATCCTACTAATTTTATTATAAATGTGAAAGTTTATTACTCAATCACGCATAAACTACTGGACGGATTTCGATGAAATTTGGTACGCATATAATTTGAGACAAAGGATACTTTTTATTCTGAAAAATGTTAAGTTCCTGTGGGATTCTTATAAAACCCAAAGTTGACGCGGACGAAGTTGTGGGCAACCGCTAGTCAGTTATATAAAACATTTTTTTTAACCATAAACGGAATTATTATCCTAAAAAGTCTGGTCGTTGACCGATAAATTGAATATGGGTAGATAACGATACTAATAACTACTTACTTTATTATTTAGGTAGATACATTTCGGTGTTTGACTTTATCTAATCTAGGGTGATCTGGCAGGAATATGTATTATGCGTATTTATTTAATCTCTTTAAAAAAAACTAAAAATATACTTAAGATTAGTCCACTTTTTAGAATGAAAGGAAAACAATATCAATACCCAAATTCAGCATTTAATTAAGCTGATGAAAATATACAATAGTTTACACTTATCGCCTTATGCCTAGAAACGTTCTGACTCACTCTCCTCCACAACTCCTACAAACGAAATACAGTAACTTGCAATTTTGAATTCATTATTGAATTACTGAACACTGTGCACCTTTTTAGTACTTTTATTGTGACCATTTAAGTATTTGCACGTATAATATATTAATCAAACAAAGCAAAATTTTGAGTCAATGTTTAATTTTAAGTCAATATTTATAAGTAGCTGTAGTATCATTAAATTGATATAATCGTATTTAACATTTGCATTTATTTCACAGTGAAATTAAAATCTGTCGGAGTGTTATAATTAGGCCCGAGCACCAATTTTGACAATTCTGTTATCGTATCGTAATCATAACATGTTGTGTGGTAGAAGCACGTTTGTTCTTACGTCCGGTAGGGGCGCTGCTTAGCTTTCATACAAACTTTGACGATGCGATACGATTACGGAGCTGTCAACATTCGTGCCTGGGCCTATTCTTGGAACCATTTTATTTAACCAACTTTGTTTTGTTTCTTTCAGGACTCTCATCGATGACTTGACGTCCACTGTATACACAGGACTGACTGGTCCCTTCAAATGGAATTCATCTGACGGAGTGCACGCCCGATTCACACCTCTCGTAATCCAGCAGTGGCGAAACGGGACTTACTTCGACGTAGGCAGCTGGGACGGCAGCAACTTATCGCTCGATGTAACGAAACTGCGCTGGCTAACTAGCGACGGTCGAGAACCCGATGATGGGAGTGAGCACTGTGGTTTGCAGCCGCTAGCCGATCTGTTGGGAGGAGATTGCCGGGCAGCTTTCATCGCACTCGCAGCCCTACTACTTGCTATGTTAGTGGCAGCATTAGCTGCGCTCGCAGTATACTGCAGACGACGAGCTGAGCGCGAATACCGCGCCCATCTCGAAGCCCTTCGCTTACGCACATATGGATTAAAACCTGGAGGCCTCGATCGTTGGGAGTTACCACGGGAAAGAGTTGTGATCAACAGAAAACTCGGCACCGGCGCTTTCGGAACGGTGTATGGAGGGCACGCATTACTCGCCGAAGACCGCGGCTGGACCGCTGTCGCTGTCAAAACATTAAAAGCCGGCGCTTCCACCGAAGAGAAACTCGATTTCCTGTCAGAAGCGGAGGCCATGAAACGTTTCGACCACAAGAACGTTGTCCGCTTATTGGGCGTAGTGACTAAGACCGAACCTGTGTGCACAGTGATGGAGTTTATGCTTTACGGCGATTTGAAGAACTACTTACTGGCGCGGCGACATCTCGCTGTGGAGAGTGGGTTTGGTATGGAAGCTGACGAGACTTCAGAAGAAGTGTCTCCACGTCGGCTTACTAGTATGGCGTTGGACGTTGCTCGGGCGTTGTCTTACCTAGCGCAATTGCGTTACGTGCATCGTGATGTGGCAGCAAGGAATTGCCTAGTAAGCGCACATCGGGTGGTGAAGCTGGCAGACTTTGGCATGACGCGCCTAGTGTTCGAGAACGATTACTATCGGTTTAGCCGTAAGGGCATGTTGCCAGTGAGATGGATGGCACCTGAGAGTTTAGCCTTAGGCGTATTTTCTCCGGCGTCAGACGTATGGTCGTTCGGAGTGCTGCTCTACGAGATAGTCACATTCGGCTCGCTACCGTTCCAGGGACTCAGCAACAGCGAAGTCCTCACTCGTGTGAAAGCTGGGCACACGCTAGAACTTCCGACTGGATTGAAGCCTCAATTGTAAGTCCGTTTTGATATTTTAAAGGACTAGTACAGACTACTTAAACATCAACCCCCTTATTAACAAGGATTAAGCTTAGACTACTTACGCCGTGTTTTGTTAATGTCACTCATATGGCATTTGTCATTCACAACAGAGACAAAACATAGAGTAACTAATCCAAGCGTAGTCTACGTTTATTAATAGGGGTTAAGTGTCACAATCATACAGCCTAGAACTAGAAGCCATTTTGAAACCAAGAATAAGCTCACTAGCATTACTGATCATATTGATTTTTATATTACAAGTCATATCTCAATACAGGGAACGAATAAATATTGTCCACCATTCAATGGCACTAAGTATTGAATGCACCTGGGACGCCTGAAACAAAACGGAAAACTTAAAAAACCTCAAAACTATTTCATGTTTATAGCATACTAGGGCAATCAGTAAAACGCAGACAAAGTCGCTGTTGTCAGCGTTTAAATATTTTGTTACCCATACAAGCTGTCCCCAATATTACCCCATTCAAATTTTATTTTGGGAACAAAAAGAAGCCTTGTCCTCTTTTGATCCCATTATGAAAGCTTTAGAGACAACTCTGTTAGTCTACAGACGAAGTTTTATTCTCATTACTAAATTATTATATTAAGTATGAATATGGACGAAAACTGGCTAAACACTTACCGTTTACTTATCAGGGAAGGTCTAATAAAGTCGTGTTGGCGGCAAGATTACAAGACGCGGCCGGCAGCATCCGAAGTAACCGCGTTCCTGGCTGACTCGCCGCGTCTTCTGGCGCCGTGTCTAGATGTACCTTTAGACGCGATGCCATTGGACGCTGATCCACCGTGGCGAGCAGCAAGAGACAGGGCAGAGGTAAGCTAATGTCTTCTTCTTAAAGTGCGGTTTCCCATTCTTATATCAGGGAACGCCTTATAAAGTCGTGTTGGCAACAAGACTACAAGACGAAGTGACAGCGACAGTCAGGAGCTGACTCGCCCCGTGTCATCGGCTTTTTAACTATCTGCTACTCGATGATACGGGGCGAGTTCTCAAGCTACTAGCGAACTCGCTGGCTTGTAGCTTGTAAATTCGCCCCGTGTCATCGAGGCTTTAGACGCAATAACCATTTTAATCAAGCTTAATCATATCAGCAATAGTCAAATAGATGTGTAATCCTATAGCTAACTTTAACTTAATTCGTTTAGCAGAGTTATATCTCAAAATATTATTATATTCAACTTAGCAGTTTTAAACTACATGCATTTATATACTTACGAGGACCATTAGAACTTCTCAACCTGGCGCCCTACGACAAGAGGGACCCATTTAAACATACTTTGTCATGTGTTAAGCGAGTGACAATAATAAATTAATAAGCGTTCGGCTGCGATCGTTGAAGTTAAGCAACTTTCGAAGTGGTTGGTCATTGGATGCTTGTCCAATAATTTACTATCTCGAGCTCCTCCGTGCTTCGGAAGGCACGTTAAGCCGTTGGTCCCGGCTGCATCTGCAGTCTTTAGCACCCATCTCTCCGCGCAGGACCCGCGCAGTGGGTTATGGCCCTATCTCCCTATTCCATCTGTAGGGAAGGCCTGTGCACCTGCAATGGGGACAATAATAGGCTGATGATGATGATACTTTATACAGGCTCGCTGGGTCTCATGGGCCGCTCCGCCATCAGCCGCTACCGATACAACGTATCTGAGCACAGAGGGACAGGCGCCGCAGGAGGGCGACGCTTTCCTCCCGTAACCACGACCGCTGAGATGTGGGTGCGACAAAAGAAGCTTTACATGTCGTATAGGATGTTAGCATATCCAGTTATTTGACCTTCTTAAATACCCACAACAAAACTTATGTCATTTATAACCAGCTCGTACTGAATGCCTTTGACTTAATTTAACCGACAGCACGTATGTGAACTTGGAGGAACATGCGCCTCATCATAGGACGCTTTTCTCCAGTGACCACAGCAATAGAAGAAACGAGAGCTTTACATGTAGAATAGGTGTCCGCGTAGCAGTTATTGAACGTTAATTAACATCCATTGTTTCAACAACATTATATAATTTGATTGACGTTAAGCACTTTGTCCTTAATTTAATTTATAATTAGTGGCATTCTCTATTTCCTGATACGTGAAATATTAATAATTTTTATGTGTTAACCATGTCATCTTTATCATCAAGAAAAACAGGATAAAATGGTTCTAGTTTGAATTATAAAGTTACGTATCTTTTAAATTTATTGTTAAAGAGGTAAAAAATAAATAAATAAAAGCTTTGTCATTGAATTTTACGTAACATAACTGCTATGGAAGAAATTAAGCGTACAATGGAAGAGTTTGTGTTTCTGTCAATGTTACCTTGACAGTTTGTGGTTACCAACTTATTTTATGACTTATTACTTATAAGTGTCGCCGCACACGGGCCGCACGCCACAGCCACAAACGCCGTCACGAGAAGCTAGAAGCGGCTACTAAAGTGGCTGAAGCGCGAGACAGCGGCCGACTAAGGCAAAGGAGAGAGGGGTGGGGAATCGCGCGAGTGACGTGTGGCGGCGTTTTGTATCGACGCATTAAGTGGCCGGTGCGGGCCACAAGAAGCGAGCAACGACGATTTGTAGCGTGTGGCGGCCACCGGCGTACCGTGTGTGGCGAGTCCATATAAAATGTATGAAAACTACAAGAAATATGCCGGTGGCGGCGTTTTGTGGTTGTTGTCGGCGGCCCGTGTGCGGCGACCCTAAGTAGCAACGGTCTAACAATTTCGACTGTACCTGCGTTAAAGTGAATCGCTGTTCTACCTCTACTGCAGCTGCTAACAGCCGCTCTATCTTGATCATTCCGAGATTATTCTAGTCATTTTTTAGTTATAAGTTAATTATTAAATAGGTAATTATAAGTATTTTTGTACATAAATAAAATATACATTTGTATCAATTCTGGTGTACTATTTATTTTCCTCTCAACAATTTCACAAATAATTTGCGACCGGTTCCTTCCTAGTTACCTACTTATTTGCATTGCAAAAATAAAAACTCAAAATTCTTCAAAAATTACACAACGGCACACAGAACACATAAAGAGGTTAGAAGAGTCTTGTGGGCGGAGCAGCGCGCCACAGAAATGTGTGAGCAAATGCTCATAACTTGGCCGAAACTTTGTTCTGATTGCACCGTTGCTCTCGGTTGTGAGCACTGATTGGTTCGATTGTTTGAAGTAGCGTCGTTTGATTGGCTATAATATATTAGGTGGCGGCGACACATCGGTTCCCGTACAAACGGTTTATGATCACCCTTCTCACCTCTTTCTGTATTCTGTCTAACAAGTGGATAAATAATCCACTATGCAAACTCAGGATGGGTTGGTACGTACTTATAACTGCAGATACAGCCTGAGCAAGGCTTAAAGTGCTTTCAGAAGCCCAAAACAATATATAGCCAATATATTGTCTTGGACTCCTCAGTGCTTGTTTGCTGCCCATCCGATCTTTCATTGTGGATACCTTTAGTTTGTTTGGTATAACTGTTCAGTGAACGGTTGTACCAAACAGCAAATAAGAATTATTATAATAATGCCAATTTCTAACAAAATCAGTATGAAAAATTAATAAAAAAAAAGGAAACAATTTGGGATCAGGCTTTTTGATTTTATACAATCAGTTTATAATTAGATATTTTCTTTTTTTCCAATTAGGTACTTAATTTAATTGAATCATTTAACATACTTTTTTTTTATAAATTTCATAAATTCTGTAAAGTACATATTATGCCATTGTAATATTTACTATACTTCGAATACGCTTAGACAAAGTTTTAACTTTTTATTAACTATGTAGGTACCTAACTGTTTTTTACCTACTTATAAACTCGTTTATTAACAAACTTACTACCCTGCCCTGTTTATTTACAAATTAACTAAAACTGAAGAGTTTATTTTATATTGGACTTTATTACAATACCTATAATAAAAATACTTAATAATAATAATTTATTGGCACCATAAAAATTGTACACAATCTAATATATAAAATTCGAGAATTTTGTCGCGGTGTTTGTGGTTAAACTCCTCCGAAACGGCTTTGCCGATTCTCATGAAATTTTGTGTGCATATTGGGTAGGTCTGAGAATCGGACAACATCTATTTTTCATCCCCCTAAATGTTAAGGGTAATCCACCCCTAATTTTTTTTTTTTCAAATTTAGATTTTTTTTTATGATACAGCATTAGTAAATACATACAACCCTAAATTTTCACCCTTCTACCACCAACCCTTATTTTTTTATGGCGGTACGAAGTTCGCTGGGACAGCTAGTATTTTATAAAATCTTACAATATTCCATGGGCGTAGCCAGGTACGGGCAAGGAGCTGCCCCCCCCTAGATCGAGGAGCTTCAGAACCAAAAATTAAATAATAAATAATCCAAAAACTAAATATAAAGACTAAAAAAATTATAGAATCGCACATCACTCTCATTAGTCTCGTTACTAAAGCTCTAATTTCGATAGGACTACTCGTAAACAGTGAAGTGATTTCGTACGTACCTACGTTAAGCCTTTCTTGGACGTAAAATGATGGATATAAGGATTATTTTAAAGTGTGCAGTCTGTATAATGTTACTTCCCCGTCGGCAAAGGTTCCCAGGACGCTGGCGGCATTTCCCCGCTGAATGGCGAGGCTTATGCGCTGGGCGAAATAGCCGCCAGCTCTGCGGTCTCCAGTGGTCTCCACCAATCTTTTCGCTATATCTTTGAATCCCATCCCAATCCGGATCCCCGGATTTTTTGTTTTATAAGTTGTCAGATTTCCCAATAAAATAAAATTCATTCTCATTATTTCTTATAAACCCGTCATAAACTTTAATGAAGTTTCATTAGTGGTCATAAAAAGATCAGAAAATGACATCTATTCTCATTAATTGTATGTGAGACGAAATTCTTAACAATCCATGGTTTCACCGTGCGGGTGCCGAGTCCACCGTGTGGCAGAGAGAGCAACTCTGAGCAGTTCCCGGGCCTTGCCATCCGGGTGTAGGTTTAAGGAGGCCCCCTTTGAGATACGCATCAACGCTCACCTTCACTGCTTGAGTTGCCCGCCCTTCCTAGCCAAACTTGATAGGAGTCTGTTAGTGCAGCCTTAGTTACTCGTTCCAAAATTAAACTTACTGCAGTTCTCGATAGGCCGAGGTCTTTTAGAAGGTTATAGAAAGATTTTGCTGGTATACCTCTCGCTCCTTCTTCTACCGCATGTAAATTAACTAGATAGCCATTTTTGGTTAGTTCGTTGGTAAGATCGTAATATTTATTCAATTTTATTGTGAGGTATTTCTTACTACAGTAAGCTCTATTAGTACTTTACTTATGTTTGATGTGCCTAAAAAAGGGGAATACGTCAGGCCTGGATGACGAAACACCAACATAATCTGGTACATTGTAGTGATTTTCATACGTATCTTTTAAAATAGTCTAGTCAGATTTAGTATCTAGGATTGAATTTAATGCTGCAGCAAGAAAAAACGCTTACCACTTATATTGTGCTGCTACCAATTAACAATTTATTATACGAATATCTGCTGGTTTGATAGGAAAATACTCAGGAATATTGGAACCTGTTGCCAATGCCCTATAATCAAAGACAATAGATATGTATATATGGAAGAAGCATCTCAGTAACGCGGACCAGGAATTCCAATATGTCTTCGACATTTCTACGGAAACTGCAGCTGTCATTGGAACCGATTTACATATCCCGCGCATTGCATTTCGCCAACGACATCAGTCCAATCATCCTGCTGAGACTCCATGCGATTTTTTGAAGTGATCGATCTTCATCCCGTATTTGGATTTCCTTATATCCGCACTGGAACATCGTTTCTTTGATAAACATATGTTAATCAAAGAAACGATGTTCCAGTAGGCATATGCCTGCCTTCGGATTGATGATGTTGCATCCTGATGCGATATTGAAAATTTCACTGGCTGAATTCAAACAGAAAACACAAAGTTACTATGGATTAGAATCCTTTGATAATAAAGCCGAACTGTGATATAAATAAACGATGGAAAGATATGCCAACTTTGCGGAGTCGTTAGAGAAGGCGGAAACATTCTTTCCTCCAACCAGAAAACCTATACTAATATCTCTTCTCACTGTCTTGCACCACGAGGTACTTCTCTACACTGCGGTGTAGTCAAAACTTGGTTGAGGTCGACGATGCTCGAACTTGATCTCTTAACATACATAGGACACATAAATGGCCTGTGTATGTTAAGTGTCCAGCGAAAGATGGTACAAGAAAATTTAATTTTTGTAGCGAACATATTAGTTTCACTTGCCTGCCCCCCCCCCTAAACTAAATCCTGGCTACGCCCTTGCAATATTCAATCAATCATCTAACTGCATAGAAATATATCTGCACCTGAACTAGGAGACCTGTATCTCAGGTGCAGATTGAGATATGATTGAGTCCTTTAAATAACTTTTTTCGTAACTTACGTTCAAATTTCGAAAATGGTGTGCCTTACTTTAATTTATACGCATTTGAAAGCACCATGCTATGTTCTAAACTATAATAGCTGGCTGTTTAAGATCTCATTTACCTAAAAGATCACAGAAATATAAGACAATTGCTATAAATATAATTTTAAATGGATAAGTATATATAAAGGTATATTTTTTCTAATATTAAAATTACTTTTTGCCTCTCCTAAAAAATTGCCGGCTACGGTAATTCATATTACAAGTGACGATATGACTCTGTATCCTAGATCTTTTTAATAAATATTTTTAAAACTATATCTTGTTTTCAATCCCAAATTAGTTTACTTAGTGTTAGTTTTAACTAAAGCTCTGAGTGACTACTAGTTTTATCTGAAAATCAAATATATCAGTGTTAAATTCTAGTTTTAAAAAGTTATTTCTAGTTTTATCAAAGGCATTTAGTAAAAACTAATTTTAACTAGGGAAAACGCATTCTATCTGAAAACGGGTTTTAACTGTAACATATACAGCTGAATTGTGATCGATGATGCTAACAGGGAAAATGTAAATAACAAACTTAATAATAATGTTAAATTTACTGATAAAACCAAACTATTTAAGTGCGAAGTGAGCAGTGCGAGCGTACTTTAATAGCACCCATTGTTGTCAAAAAATATAAAAACCATTAAATTATGTACTTGCACACGGTTACATTTTAAGAAAAATTTATTAAATGAACGTTATACGAGAAATGTTTTCGGCAAATTGTGTTACATTTATGATAAGTGCTCTGTTGGTACACGCAAATAGCATTGCTGCAAGATCAAGATCTACATCCTGCGAGGAACTTCATCGTGCCTACGCAAGTAAATACATAATTTTTTTATCAGTCTCATAGTATTAAAAGTTTTAGACCAAAAAAGGAAATACGCGGACGAATATGCAGACGGATTCTTATCACGGGAACCTAGAATCTACTGGTATACTCTGTGACTCTGTGTACTTGCGTCCCAAATGTCTTCCGCCTACCCGTTTTGTGACTGCGCGTTTAAAATTATTTTACGTCGCTTTCAATGAGAAGGTGCTCGTAGTAGTAGTAGTCCTTCAGTTAGATTAGTAAAAAAATTAAACCGCCGATAAAACTGAAAAGCAGAAAATAATGCTTTATTCTCGTTTTAAAAATAAAGCAGAAAGGATCTCATTTATGTTGTACTGAAAAGAAAAAGTGTACGGAAATCCATTTTTAACGCGCTGAGCGGGCAGAAAAGTCTATCGAAATTCATTGATAACGTGCTGTTTTTTTTCAGGTTTTTCAGGTCAGGTTGTATTTGCAGACTTTGCTATATATTTTTGTAACATTATATATACTGTTTGCTTTCTGAATAAATTTTGGAAAAAGAACAAAAAGTAAAAAGTGCTCTGATTATTTTATTTTAACTGAGCTGTTAATTTGTTTTCCTATCTACTCGAGACTACGTTTATTATCTATTGATAATGAAGATTTATTGACACCGCCAAAATTTTAAGAAACTACCTAAGCAGTCATTGAGAAGCTTACCCGTGAAATCAAGAAACCAATATAATAACCATCCTATAAGCGCATCCTCTCTTCTAATAACCAATTGCGTGCCCGACGGGTCCATAATGCTCATATTTATATAAGTACTGTAACGTCCGTTACGTTACAGCCTCCTTGTTTGGGTAAAATCTTTGATCATGTAATGCCTACGGCTGGCAGTCACATTAAAAAGGTAATGTCATGTCCTCCCAGGGCCTACCCCTTCAGGGTAGATCGCCGCAGTACCTACCACCCACTATACACATTATGGTTGCAATAAAAGATTTGAGTTTGAAGCTCCCATGCAAAATAGTAACTGTAACAACTTTAATAAAAATTTCAAATTAAAATTAAGAAATTTGTCTTTTATTTCTTCGCAGGTATAATATTATATTATTATACTCGAAAGAAAATGGTATCTCCAACTTGGGCGTATTAAGGCCATTGGTTTCGCCTCGGGCCTCAAGCTACACCCTCGTTGGTAATCGGTCACTTTCTCCTCTCAGTGAACAATATACTATTGAAAAAAAAATATACGCGTCAACTTCATGACCTTCTCTGTTTTTTCGTCGGTTGGAAAAATCGACAATTATTTTTCCCTTGTCAATCAACCAAAAAAATAGAAAGATAAAGCGCGTCAAAGTTCTTGAAGGGGCTCTTGACGTCACTTATAAGTAAAAATTATATCAAATGTAACCACGTGCGACATTTCAAATCAATAAATTTATCTCTGTAATGTTTTCATGTAAGTACTACAAAGAAAAAATACGTGTCCAATACTTTCTGATAAACTACCTGATAGACGAAGAAAAAGTTAGCCATCATCTCTATTGGCCCTTAAATCCACTACAATATCTAGAAATATTTTATTGATACACATTCCTAGATTCTTAATATAAATAATAATAAATAATTAATATTTCCAACACCCACACCAATTAACCTAGCCCCAAAGTAAGCACTGTAAGGCTTGTGTTATGGTATACTAGGGTAACGGATAGAATACATATACTGTTGTGTACCAATTTAACCCAACGAAGACACAAGTATGCGGGTTCACCGCAAAAAAAATACCATTTGTCATATCTCCTCGTTTTGAGAACACTCCTCTAACTGCCTCAGCTAGAATTGGAATTCTTGGCGTTGACATATCGAGCGACGTCCAGTTTCGGGATCATTTAGAGGGCAAGGCCAAATTGGCCTCAAAGAAGCTTGGTGTGCTCAATACATCAAGAATGTACATCACACCGGCCCACCGACTGCAGCTTTATAAGGCACAGGTTCGGCCTCACATGGAGTACTGCTCTCATCTTTTTGCGGGGGCACCCCAGTACCAGCTTCTCCCTTTGGATCGCATCCAGCGCCAAGCGGCTCGAATCGTCGACGACCAGGACCTTACCGATCAGCTCGATCCTTTGGCTTTGCGTAGGGATGTAGCTTCGCTCTGCATTTTCTATCGCATTTATCACGGGGAGTGTTCTGAGGAATTGTTCGGATTAATTCCAGCTGCTGCATTTGGCCATCGTAAAAATTTCATCCCCATCATCTTGATGGTGGCTATACACAACCGTAGGTTTTTGTCGAAATTTTTTACCACGTACGACAAAACTGTGGAATATGTTTCCGGACCGATACGACCCAAAAACCTTCAAAAAAAGAGCGTACTCCTTCCTTAAAGGCCGGCATCGCATTTGTGATACTCCTGGTGTTGCAAGTGTCCACGGGCGACGGTGATCACTTACCATCAGGTGAGCCGTCTGCTCGTATGCCCCCTATAACATAAAAAAAAAACTGTACAATTATATAAGTATATTTATATAGAAATACATATAAAACATCCATGACTGGAGTGCAAATGCTCGTATTCATCACACAAACATCTGCCCCCACCGGGATTCGAACCCGGGACATCTCAAATCAGCGACACCATGAAACCCGGCGTACAAACCACTCGGCCATGGAGGTCGTCAGTCATATCGTAATAGGTAGGTATTGTTTATTAGTGAGTGCTCCGCTTCTCCTGTACAGAATTGTTTTAAGGTCATACTTGAACCTGAACCAAGAAGACTGGTTGATAAAAATTAACATTTTAATATATTTTTTATAGAAAATGATCCGGCACGTGAGTTAACGGTATTCGGGAACAAGCATTGGTTATCAGTGTACCATGAAGATAGCAAGCCTAGTCGTGCTGCTGCAATGCTTCTGCTCACAGTACTGCGGTATGGCCTGCGTTACAAGCAAGTGCGTATGCGCACCTTGCCTTCATCTGGGCTCTGTGGGATTCAATTACAACCTGAGGTCGACGAAGATCCAATTTCACATGAACATGAGTATGGCACTAAATAATAAGTTTAATTATAACATTAAGTATATTTGCTATTTCTTAACTATAATTGCTATTTCTTCTTTCAAATGTTTAATACTTGAAAAAGTATTCATTTGACATTGTGTCAGTGCATTCGCCCGGATTGCGAAGGATGCGGGTTCGAGTCCCGTCCGCTGCCTGGTCCGCGTGGATTTTTTTCTACTAAAACTTTCCTTTAGATTTAAACATCTAGCAGTTAAATGCTTAAAAAAATAAAAACATAACATTAAGTATATTAATCTTTATCCATTACGTAATGCACCCAGTAAAATGTGATAGCAAGAGTAATAAAACATTATATGCGCGCTTTCATGTTCATCTTGCCTCTTCCTTAATCGCATGCTTAAGTTACCATAGCATAGCGCAAGCAAGAGAGTGCCCCTTCGGCCGCCATCATAATTGTGTTGGTTGGTTCGAAACATATGTTCGTAACCACTTACGATCGAGGGTGTTTTCTTTCTAGTTCGAAACCAGTTACGAAGGAAGTGTATTTTGAATTATGTCCCCGCTTGTATCCGCGCTACGTTTCGAAGAAAAATGTCAATAACGACCCTAACCCAGACGTTTTTAACACGCTTTTATTAGGTCGACCTTTATGTAACTATGTAAAGGAATCTTAGGTACAGCACCCGGCCATTTATAAGTCGCATCGAGCTTTAGAAAGAGATACACGGCTAGCTCCGGCTTCGTATAGCGCCGTCTCACCCTTGTAAATCTGACCTTTAGAAAGAAAAGAAAAAAATTAAGGATGATGATGGCAGTAATTATTTTATGAGAGGCTTCGCATATCTATTAGTTTTTTGTATTTGGTTGGAAATAAAAATTATAGATTTTCATTAAAATAAATAAATTAACATATATAAATTAACAGTACATGTATGTTGTCTTTTACCTACATGTTTTCTTTTTGTATTGATTTCTAAAAAAAAACCTTAAAAAAAAGTTTTAGCAGCTCTTAATAGATACCGGACTGTTAATGTTTGGTGTGACAGAGATGACGCTGCGACTTATAAATGGCCTGGTACTCTAACTAATTTAATCATCTTTCAAGGATGTCACTTTCGTCCCATTTCCATCTTACCTTTTCTTTCCAAAGTTCTCGAGCACATAGTCCACAAACAAGTTTCTCAATTCCTTCTTTCCAATAGTCTCCTTAATCGTTATCAGTCCGGGTTTCAGCCAGGGCACAGTACCACCACCTAGTGAATGTCACTGATGATATTAGCTGGGCAATGGATAACAAAGCACTAACTGTCCTTGTATTGTTAGACTTTAGCAATGCATTCAGTTCTGTAAATTTAGACATTCTCCTTGCTATTCTTCATTCTTTAAATGTCTCTCCTTCTGCTCTTTCTTGGTTCGATTTCATTCTTCGGGGTCGCTCGCAGTGTGTTCGCCTTGATGACACCACCTCTAATGGGTGTGAGTGTGGGTGTACCTCAGGGAGGTGTTCTCTCGCCACTCCTATTCTCCATTTTTATCAACTCAGTTATAAGAGTCATCTCCACCATGTTCCATCTCTACGCAAACGACTTGCAGCTTTATCGCCATTACAATATTGATAAAGCGGAGTCCACGATAGCAGCCATTAATAAAGACCTTAACCGAATCAGTACTTGGTAAATCACAGGCGATCATCACAGGAAGTAGGTACATGTCTAATTATATCCGTTCCTTTCATTTGCCACCAGTTTCAATATGTGGAATCAATATTCCTTACAGCGAAATGGCGAAAAATCTTGGAGTGACAAAATGTATTTTTCACTTCACACCTTAAAGTTTTTACAAAATTTTCTTCCTCTACATTCTAAAATTGCCCTTTTACAATCTCTTATTGTACCCCTTCTCGACTATGCCGATGCTTGTTATTTAGACGCTACGGAGATTTTGCTTAACAAACTTGAGCGCCTGCAGAACCTTGCCATCCGATTCATCTTTGGTCTTCGTAAGTACGATCACGTCTCCAAGTTTCGAAAGGAACTCAAGTGGCTTCCCATACGTCTGCGCAGATATGTCCGATTCCTTTGTCTTCTTTTCAACATCCTTTACAATCCTTTATATTGTGATGTTAAATTCCCCTCCACTGCCCTCTTTTCGCTCACTCAGAGCACCGGGGGAACAATAAAAGAAAACCAAAAAAATTAAGATAATGTTATAAGTATATTTTATCCACTTTAGATACCAAAGCATAGGAATTCAGTAGTTTTAAGTTATTGCTTATATAAATCAACAAGTCTGACTATGTTTATTATTTATATAATAACTAGGTTTCACTAATTATAAATATCTAAGCTGAATACAGTAGTTCAAAGTTAATGTGTATATAAACCAACAAGTTGTCATGAAAGGTTATAATTATAAGAATATCAGACATTCATAACACTTTACCATGTACTTACAATATAATACTTACTAATATTTTTTATCCACAAATACCACATAGACTATACTGAATAAGCTATTTAGTGGATTTCAGAGGTTCTACGGCTCGTTTGATCGATATTGGTGACAAACTTAGTTAATTCTAGTTCTCAGTGAGATAACCAGCTATATAGATATATGTAAATATATGGAAATGGGTAAGTCGGGGTCCAACCTCGCCTGTTGTTTCCTCTCCACGTTCACCCGGGGTTAGTAGAGAAATACCTTGATTATGATAGGTTTAGCTGTGTATAATCTATCTGCTGTTACGGCCGGGTTACATAAAACCGGAGAGCGGCTGGCAAATAAACTCCCGCGTCCCTTCTGGTCCGTGTACAGAACAAAAGTCTCCTTGTTAGTCCTCCAATATTTCTTGAGGGGAACGTACAAGCCTGAAGTTCACATTAAAAAAAATGATCAGATATGGGGAAAATACATAGATTACCACATCTGTAGTGGGTGAGGGAGTGAGGGATATTCACGGTCAATGTTTACACTTTAAAATTTGAATCACTACAGGACTGGGGGCCCGTCCCACCGGGTTGAAGAAAATCAATTCCACGTTCACTAACTTGACAAGAATGATTAGGTATATTTGATGACAAGAATCACTATATTGTGCATAATGCAGTTCAATTAGTGCTAGGAGAATAAATATGAGGTCAGATGATAGCTTACCGTTCGAAATATGAAACTATCCGTAAGTATTTTGTTTCCTATCACAAGTTACCGCCTTATTGCAATCGCCTTGCGAAGGTTCGGGTTCGTCCACCTACGAAACTCAGTTCGGTTAGCGACTCCGCGCTTTTTCCGCCAATATCCCTCGGGATATAAACTTTTCGGATCTAGCTCACGACTTCGACGACAATAATATGCCGTTTATTATACTTTGGGCAGAAGAAAAGATGAAAAGTTAACTGTACCACAAACAGATTGTGAAATTTTAAAAGTTGTTTTGACAATTGCTCATAGATGATAGACGGATCGTCTACTCCCAAACATGTGTCTATGATTTGTTTCACACTTCAACTGAAGGCAAAGGCCACAGTCAAACAGACAGCCGCCGCATTCGAGACGAACCGAAGAATAAACTCAAAACTATATACCTACGCTCGCCGTAAGCTGAGGAAAAGGGAATACCTACCCAAATCAGCGAGGAAATTCAATTTCGAGTAAAATTCAAAATCGATTAAAAACAGCACCCGATAATGAGGACTCAAATCGATCTGGGAAAGACTATTCAAAATTCAACAACTGTCAAACTCCATCCATTCATCCACGCGCCCCCACAGAGATTCCCCGCCTGATTACTTTTTTTTTTTTTTTTTTTATAAGTCTCAAGGCGAATATTTTAGTCGAATAGGAAAATCGACTCTTCCCTCAAGGCTACCAACCCAATCAATGAAGTTTGACAGCTACGCTGACGTAAGCGGTTCGCTATCATAGACAAAACAGCTGTCCTACGTGTGTCAGTGTCACGCTCTGTTTAAAAACAAACACTACAATATCCTTCCTATCTTCGAGAGCGGTTTTCTTTCACCCACTGGCCTGATGTTCCTTGCAGGTCCCACCTAAAATCCCTTCTCAAATGTCCTACTCACAAAACTGACTTTGCATCCTACTCTTTTACAGTATATGCCGTCCGCTTATGGAACTCGTTGCCAGCAGCAATCAGAGACGCCCAGACCATTTCTACCTTTAAAAATGATTGAAGGAACACTACCTTTCTATATGAATTTCTTAAACTTTATTGCTTTTCCTAGTTAGTTTTTATTTATTTTATATTAATATCATCATCATCATCATCATCATCATCATCATCATCAACCCATGTTCGTCCACTGCTGGACATAGGTCTCCCCTAATGCACGCCACTGCTATATTAATATATATTAATTTATTTGTAAATATTGAATGTTTATGTATGTATCGCATATGTATTATGTTATATTTATTCAGGAGCACTTAACTGGTTTTGAACTAGGAAGAAAACATCCGCGATCCTAACTGGTTACGATAAAGGACGAATAAGTCTTCTATTGCAACTGATAACGAAATTCGGTTACGGTGGTGACTGAAGGGGAGAATGCATGTTTTACAATTATATTATCCATCAATCCATCGTTCTTAAACAGCAAGATCACAAAGCTACTCAATAGTCTATTATTAAGTTGCAATATTCAAATTAATTTTAAGTATCCCTAAAGCAAGTTTGTTTCACTTGCAATCTAATTGTAACGAACTTATCTATTTACACCAAATTTTATACTATTTCCAGGGTGGTTTTGGCTCCATCGATTTCTTGGAACGAAACAGCACCTAGTAGTTGTGTGTCAGAAAAGGAGACTGAAGTAGAGCCTCTTCGAGTGCTGGGTGCTGGTGCAGCGCCTGTCTCACTCGACCCTCCTTCCAAACAGCACAGTTCTTACTTACACGCGAACCGTACAATTAGAGTTGCCGAAATCTCTAAGTTAAGAAAGTTTGCACCTTCGGTACTTGAAGTTTTCGGAAGATTCTCACCAAGACCTAATGACCTTCGAAAAATGTTCCCTGATTTTAGCTTAGAAACCGCTTGCAAATGGGCATTGAATAACTCTGAAGTCTTTGAAAATTGGCTCCAAATTACAAGAACACGTGTTTACGAGGTGGCTGCATATTTGTGCCAAGACGATCCTGATAATAAAGAATATATTGAGATTCTTAAACAAACCTTAGTAACATACAATATTCATAAAAACGAAGATTTAAAGTTTAACTTGAAAACTAATGCGAAAGTCTTTAATGTTAACTGCTCTGACGAATATTCGCTGATGAAGAAGTTTATGGAAAGAGCTCATAGCTTTCATTGGCCAAGGCTCATAGGCGTTATTGCCAGTGGAGCCGGCATAAGGGCAACGAAGAGTGTGGCCTCAGTTTTGGACACTGTTTTAGTTCAGTATGATATACCTGTACCCGGTGATGAGTTTCCACCTACTCGTACTGCTACTGGTCGTTTACAACACCTCTCACTTGGAATCCAATATTTTCTCGCTTCCTGTAAATGGACACGGCTCGCCGTAATTTCCGAAGATACAAAATTAGCATGCGCTCTTATGGCTTCACTAAGCGCTGAAAACAATTTAATAGTACGCGATGTTTCTGTTACAAGAGGCGTTAAAACCGCATTGAGCACCCTATTCGCGGAGAAAGCACGTATTATTTTTATTAACGGTAATCCAGATACTGCATCAACTGTTCTATGCATGGCGCATGAAGAGAAAAAACTTATAACTACTTCTTATGTGTGGATATTACGCGAATGGCGGTTTAAAGGCTTAACATGTTCAAATTATACAATACGGGAAAACGAGTTTCTTCATTTTACTATTTCCTTTTGGTGGAGAGGTGGAGATGTTAACTCCTTGCCTCCAAACACGAGACCAAAAAAAGACATTCATAGACAAATTCAAAACCGGTTGACCACTCGCGTGTGGCCAATAAGAGCTGCTCCTTTAGTAGATGCTGTAACAATTTTACTACATGGCTTTTATAATTTGTTACAAAGTCGTTATTCTATAGATGATCTACATAATAACGACACAAATCGGTACGCTTATTTTCAATATATATATATAAAAATATCTACGACTTTCTGAAAAAATAATGAATAATGCTCGTAAATGTTTTTCACAGGGCGTTTTGGGCATCTTATGATGCAAATCCAGCACAAGGGGTGATGCAGCAGTTGAACTCCAGTCAAGCAGCTCTAAGTTGTCCATTAATTTACGTCTACAATAGTCAAAGCGAACTGGAAGCAGTGTGGAAGATTTATGACGATAGAGTGCATGTACTATATCAGCCACGACCTTTCTTTGATGAGATAATGCGCCCATCAGACGGCCGTGTCTCTTGTTGGACGACATCCACCGGCAGTAAGTTCATGCCACGCTGTCACGACGCAGGCTGGTTCACAGGATTAGCAGCAATAATAATCGCTATTCCAACAGCATTATATGCGCGACGTGCTCGGCAACAACTGATTGCTCGTCGTGATAGTGTGTTTACTGCACGCCTTTTAGCGCGAGGACGACGGGCCTCTGTAGCACTAGCACCATACCTAGTAGACCGTGCTACTCTTAAGCTAGATCGTGAACTTGGTAACGGTCGTTATGGCAGAGTCCGCCTCGGCGTCCTGCGTCCACCCGGAAAGCCACCATTAGTCGTAGCGGCTAAAACACTTCGAGAGGAGGCCACACAAGCTGATGAACGCGAATTTCTCAACGAAGCAGTAACAATAGCGTCACTCAGTCACGAGCACATTGTGAGGCTGATTGGAGTGTGTGCTACCGGCGGCCCTCCACTCGTCTTGATGGAACACGCATTTTTTGGAGATTTACGCGAGTATCTTCACGAGCGGCGGCACCTGGTCGAGACAGTGGGTCACGTAAGCGCGGAGACTAAACAAGTGTCTGGTCCCGCATTGACCCGATTGGCGTGTCAGGCGGCGAAAGCACTCGATTACTTACGACTGAAGCGAATCGTACATCGTGACGTGCGTGCCTCTAATTGTCTAATTGACGCACGTCGCTCATTAAAGCTCGCCGATTTTGGATTGGCTCGCAAGACAGAGACGAAAGAGGGCAACGAGGAGTATAAATGTCGCCGGAGTATGTTTTTACCGGCGATGTGGATGGCGCCAGAGAGCTTAGAACGTGGTATATTCACAGCGGATTCTGACGTGTGGGCGCTTGGTGTTCTTCTATTGGAGTTGGTCACATTAGGCGCGCGCCCCTACGGCCACTGGTCTCCTGATCGTGTAATGCGATACGTCTGTGCCGGTGGATATCCACCCTTACCAAGGGATGCAACGCCTGAATTGTAAGTTTTGAGGAAGTCTTTTTTACCTTGGTAAAGTCTTGACTTTCGACATATAATTCAAGATGATTGCGCCTAGCCGTTTTTTATATGAAAGGGTGGCAAACAAGCAGGTGGTATCCTTTATCCCCAGCAGTTCCACGTAGCTAGTTCCACATAGAACTATTGTTATGGCATGTCTTAAGTTAAATTGCAATCGTATAGCCAAAGACGCTTGTGATACCAGAGAGTATCACGCGCATGCAGCCTACCCCGTTGAACTTTTTAAAGCAGTAGTGATATAAGACTATGGAATAATATTACTATAATTCCTGTCTTATGTATGGTAGAGGATGTCATTCGCCTCACGATTTTAAGATTTATCCGACACCTTAAAATCGTGAGGCGAATGAGCTGTAATTCGCGCTTAATGTTTAAGTTTATTCTGTTGAGCTTCGTCAATGTGCAATTACCTATGTTAAGTGACAATATTGTTTGTATCCAGAAGGCTATTACTGCTGCAATGCTGGCGGCATGTTCCAGCGGAACGCGTGTCAGCAGCAGAATTGGCGCGCCAGTTGAGCTGCAGCCCAGCAGCACTGCGTCCTGCATTACAATCGCCCGAATATTCTGAACCGTGAAATATTTTTAAAACACTACCTTCAGCGTAGCTAGGGGAACGGGACAGTATCCTCTTTGCCCAACCTAAAATTTTGCGAATTAAACGGCGACAGTTGAGATTTTACTATACCGTTTCAATATTATTTTCAGAAATAATGTTAGTTCAACTGGACGACTGCTTCATCTAAAAAAACCCTAGCTAGCTACGCCAATTACCTATTAGAATTTCACTCTAGGTACCGTATCAGCGGTTGACATAAGCCTAAAGCCTTTTATTTATCCAGATAGGTTATTTACATTTTGAAAAAAGTTGTTAGTTGCAGTTCTTAATTGTTAAGTTAGTATTATTAGTTTATTATTTAGGTGCATGGATCCCTCTTTGGGTGAATGCCTCCTCCAGTTTTTCCCATTCTTTCCTATCTTGAGCTGATTTTGTCAAGTGAATGTTTGCTGTTTGTTGTGCGTTATATCATCACTCCAACGTTTATATGGTCTTCCAATTTTCCTTTTGCCGTATGATCCTCTCCATTCTGTAATTTTCTTGGTCCATATCTTCCATCTGGTAGACGAGCAACATGGCCAGTCCATTTCCAGTTTGAGTGCATAGGTTAGCTTAGGCGATAGTGGGTCGTGTAGTCGGTTAGTTAAAAAATCCCTAAAATCAAATATAAATAATTTCATAGGAATATTGGAAACAGTAGCTCTGCTTCAACTTAAGTATCAGGATCTTAGTGTCTCAGTAATACAAGTATATGCACCTACAGAAAACTCAAGTAAAGACGATACCTATAGACATTTTCTACAATGACATTAGGAAAGCACACACACTAGCAAACGATCGTGTTGTGGTGATAGGAAATTTTAATGAAAAGATTGGACAACCAACAAAGCAGGAAAATCTGACCATGGGTTAATATGGCTATGGAACACGGAATGCAAGAGGCGAAATTCTCATAAAATATGCATCAGTATTCGAACTATCAATCATGAACAAATTTTTCAAAAAAAAGAGAAACGCAAGTGGACATGGATATCACCCAACTCTAAAAAAAAGAATGAAATTATAATTTTTATTATTTTTAAAGCATGTAACTGCTTGATGTTTAAATCTAAAGAAAATATAACTAGAAAAAATTCCACGCGGACCAGGCAGCAGACGGGACTCGAACCCGCACCCTTCGCAATCCGGGCGAATGCACTGACCAATTATGCTACCGCGGCCCTCACGGACCGCGTCGAAATTCCTTCTAGCTATTCTTAAGCTGCAAGGCAGCGCCATCTCTTCGCATTATAGGTAAACCCACAATGTCAAATGAATACTTTTACAAGTATTAAACATTTGAAAGAAGAAATAGCAATTATAGTTATAATTTTTATTATTTTTAAAGCATGTAACTGCTTGATGTTTAAATCTAAAGAAAATATAACTAGAAAAAATTCCACGCGGACCAGGCAGCAGACGGGACTCGAACCCGCACCCTTCGCAATCCGGGCGAATGCACTGACCAATTATGCTACCGCGGCCCTCACGGACCGCGTCGAAATTCCTTCTAGCTATTCTTAAGCTGCAAGGCAGCGCCATCTCTTCGCATTATAGGTAAACCCACAATGTCAAATGAATACTTTTACAAGTATTAAACATTTGAAAGAAGAAATAGCAATTATAGTTATAATTTTTATTATTTAAATAAAATAGCAATTATAGTTATAATTTTTATTATTTAAATAAAATAATAAAAATTATAACTATAATTGCTATTTCTTCTTTCAAATGTTTAATACTTGTAAAAGTATTCATTTGACATTGTGGGTTTACCTATAATGCGAAGAGATGGCGCTGCCTTGCAGCTTAAGAATAGCTAGAAGGAATTTCGACGCGGTCCGTGAGGGCCGCGGTAGCATAATTGGTCAGTGCATTCGCCCGGATTGCGAAGGGTGCGGGTTCGAGTCCCGTCTGCTGCCTGGTCCGCGTGGAATTTTTTCTAGTTATATTTTCTTAAGAATGAAATTGATTATATCCTGTCCAATAAACCACAGCTGATCGATAACATAGAAGTTTCAAATAACATACATTTTGCATCCGATCATAGATTTGTTCGAGCAACAATACTCTTGAAAACACAGAAAAGAAGTAGAAGAAATTACAGACCTGCCCTAAGAATTACAAAATCTGAAATGGCAATAGAAACCTATCTGAAGCACCAAGATCAGTTTGTTAATAATAATAGCAATATTGAACCAGTGGATATTCAATCCCATAACAATATGATAGAAATGGCCATCATAAAAAGCCTATCTGTAAAACAAGACTATGTGAAAAAGAAAACTAACATACTTAGCAAAAATACTAAAACACTTATACATCGACGAACAGAACTGCTTAACGTGCGAAACAAAAACAAACAAATGAAGAGTGAACCGAGCAAATTGTACAAAGATGTATATAAATCTATTAAAAAACACTACTGCAAACACAGCGAAAACATAATTACTTATAATCTAAAAAAAATTAGAAGTACTAAGAGAGCTGAAAAAGATCTGCAAACACACAAATCCTGGATTCATAAATTGAATAACAAATCGGAAGAAACAAAAACACGAAAAGACATTATAAACACAACATCAAATTTCTACAAAGATAGTTCTTTGTGATTTTTGTTTTTTATATAGTTATAAAAAACAAAAATACTATAAGGAAAACGATAAATCTAGCATAGAGAACACATGTAACACTGGAGACTTTAAGGAAATAGATGAAAGAGACGTATATGAACAAATTAAGCTCTTAAAAAATGAAAAAAGTGCAGGTCCGGACGGAAATAGTAATGAGTCACTAAAACTAGGTAAACCTATACTTCTCCACCATCTAACAAGATTATTCAATATGGTATTAGAAACAGAAAAGGTACCAAAACAGTGGACCAGATCAGACATAAAACTAATCTACAAAAAAGGGAATCCTATGGACTTAAACAATTACAGACCAATAAGCTTACTTGCCAGTACATACAAGCTTTACATACAGGAGTTCTCCTCCGACGTTTAGCTCCAGCAATTGATAACTCGCAACCATTAGAACAAGCAGGTTTCCGTTCTGGCTTCAGCACTATCGACCACATCCATGTGGTAGAAAAATTAATGGAAAGATACAAAAAAAATCAATAGGAAACTATATATTGCGTTTGTAGACAGCAAGGCATTTGACACAGCCATAACAGTATATGGAAAGCCCTTAGCTCTCTGAAAATCGATCACAAATATATAAATATTCTGAAAGACATCTATGAAAACTGTGTTAGCACAGTTAAACTCTAAACAAGGGGGGATGAAATTAAAATAGAAAGAGGAGTAAGACAAGGTGAATGCTACATTATCACTGATTAATATAGGCTATTCAAAAAAGTTAAGAGTTCGATATGAAATCTTTGATAATGTAACCCAACGTGTGTAAAAAGAACAAAAAATAGCCTTATATCGCGTACGCTGCGGAAGTCATTGACAATGGAGCAAAGTGATGTACTAAAGTTTTATAGAGGATACCAATATCTACAAAAAAGTCCGCGATATCATATGTCTAACTATTACAGTTATGTCACAACTTGAGATCCCCTGCGATTTCACCCGCGTTAATTTAAAGAATAAAGTTTATAATAAGTCAAACTTAAAATATGGACATAAGCTGTCGTAGACTTTTTTACAGTTTACCCAGCGCACGCAACGGAATGTCACAAATGGAATATTTTTACCCGTTTTTGCAACATTTTTCATCGATGTTCCGCTGCTACTGGTCGAAGCCTGGTAATGTATAAGCCTTCCTCGATAAATGCACTGTCCAATACAAAAAAAATAAAGATGTGGTTTTTGGTTCTACTACGCCAATGGTCAAGAGATGGCGCTGTAGTCTCCTGAATCGCGCTTTGGTTCCGTTGTTCCAGATTAATAAATACTTTTGATAGGCCTTCACAATGCAGTCGTTAGCACCCACTAAATAGAGATTCTATTTCTATTTTGTTGGTAGATTTTCTTAATGTGCGGTAAACACAAAAGTAACGCTAAAGCGACCAACTTCATGCTGTTAATTTTTTATGTTACAGTGATGCGCACGCATCTTAAAATTTCACTCTCATCATTTTTTCATAACGCGCCTAAAGAAGTATAACTTCAATAATTTTTCAAATCGGAACAGCAGAGCAATGTTGCATTCGGTACAACGGGTCCTAAACTACACAACGTATTTTTTACTTGGAACGGAAGGTTTATAATTATAATGACGAAAATTATTGTGTATAATACAAGCCTTTAAACAAAAACTAAAGTCTTCACGACATTTCTACACCGAAGCAAAGCGAGGGCGGGCCACTAGTATAAGATAAACAGAATTAGGCAAAAAAAAATATTAACATAGAATGTTAGTACAAAGAAATGTATACATGAAATAACGAGATAGAAAATTTACTCAGAAAATGAATCTTTAGAATTAAGGATATACAACAAAGTAAATTAATAAAAGTATAAATATTTAAGGATCTATGTGCAATAGTGAGAAGATTCAGAAAACAAATGTTAAATCAAGTAAAAATTAATTACATTAATTTTCTCTTAGCTCAATTTCAAGAAAGAAAAAAAATCATACCATAACTTTAAATAATAATAATAAAGAGAGAAAGGATATCATATGAAATCAACAAAATAATTGTAAATAGAGTTAAGAGAAGAATTGTGTAACAAAAAAGAAAAAGTATAATCATAGCAAAATTGTAAATAATAATAGAGTAAAAAGAAAGAAATTGTTTTTTTTTGTAAGAGACACAACTAATTATCTGATCCCACCTAATGCTAAGTGAAGATAGATGATGCGGCAGAAAATGATCAGAAATCCTAACTTTGCCGTTCTGAACCCAATCTCCTACCCCACGGAGCCCTGGAACCCCAGCCACCCACAGAAACATAACACCACCAAAAGGTAGTGTCGTTTACTGTGATCTCCTGTAAGGTGAAGGTCGCTTCCCCAGTCGGGCGCAGATTCGAGTGGAAAATCAAATATATTATGGGTTATCTGTAAAACATCAGTTCAATCAATTTATATAATTTCATTCTCACTGTTAATGTTACTCCCAAACTGTCCTGCGACACATAGTTACTCTGACTGAGCCAATGAGGGGTGATGACGGGGTACAGTAAACGAAATTCTATTTAGTCCGTCAGTTAGATGATCAAAAAATAATGGACACGTATTTTTTCTTTGGGCAATCAACCAAAAAATGAAAAAGTTATAGCGCGTCAAAGTTTGGGAGTAGGGGCTCGTGACGTCACTTTTGAGTGAATTTTCACTTATAAGTGTACTCAAACGTGACGTCATGCGACTTTTCAAATCAATATATCTCTGCAATGTTTATATTATGTGAAAAAATAAAAAATACGTATCCAATACTTTTTGATAATCTACCTGATAAAGGAAGAAAAAAAATTAGTCATCATCCGTATTAGTCTATATTCCACACTAAGTTGACTTACACCACACTTAGATAGTTAGACCAAAGACGCAATAATGTTGCGTGATAGTTTATTATACCAGATACACTACGCAACAGATAAAATCACGGCTGGCATTTTTAACAATATCTTGTGATTATTACGAATCTTAACCATTGAAAACAAATAAAACTCAAAACACTTTAGACATAGATTCGCCTGAGCCTGACATAAACTGTACAACAAGAGGATCGCAATTTGGTACCGATTTCTGCAAAACGCAGGTTTTTCTGGCACGGACTCCATCCAACACTGTGAGGAAAAATACTATTAACAGTCAGTTCCAATAATCCAGCTTCAGTAAGATATACCTAAGCTTTAACGGCTTTGTTGCTTAGATATTTATTTTCATTATTTAGGTAAAAATGGTAAGTATTGTTTACTAATATTTTTTCGAGGTAAAAAGTTGATAATTGAAACTAGCCTTCATTTGACTGCAGTTTAAAACAATATGAGCGTTAATCATTTCGAAAATAAAGAAGACAATTCTTTTTAAATAATAGTGTATTCAAGCATATGTACAATAATAATATAATAATAACAATAGGTATGTTCAATTAAATATCTCTACGGCGTGGTAGTGGAATGGCGGGGCGGTCAGCAACGGGGCGGGGGGTACGGGTGTTGGGGATGTGGGGCGTGAGGTCCTGGCATCGGGCCCGGTCCTGGAGGCCCCATGGACGGGTGGGGGAACCCGGCCACTGGGTACGGCTGCTGCGGCGGCGGCTTCAAGGCTTCACGCATTAGCGAGTGGTATAAATTGAGCGCATCCACCAGATCCGCGCTCAGTTGCGTGAGCCGCGCGTGGCGACGATCAGCTCGCTCCAACGCCGCGTCTACCAATGGACCCATGGAATGCACGCGGCTTTCTAGCCTTGCCAATGCAGCGTCCGTTTCCCGCGCTGCTTCCCCATTGGCTTCTGGATCAGCTTCGTGGAGTAAAGCCAGTGCCGCGTCCATAGTCGCTTCGTCTATGGTGACCACTTCCTCGGGTTCAGGAGCGGCGGGGGGTCCGGCGTCCGCGAACTTCACGCTGCGAGTACCGGTTTCGGCCTCTGTGATGGAATTTTCTTTTTGTTAGGGACTAAAATATAATTAATTATAATAAATTTCATTTTATGTGGTTATTTAAAAAAAGAAGTGTATGGATGTGTCGTTATTAACTCTATTAATATCTATTGTTATCTTATCTAGAGATTAAATTTCTTGTATACAGTAATTATTTGATCACGTAACTACAATACATTAAAAATTTACTTACCAATACGTGGTTCACTGAGATCAGATGTAACGAAGTTGGCCGGAAACAACCCTTCGCCGCGATCGTTGTAGCCTTTCCACCAGTTGGGATCCGAGGAATCCGTCACATGAACTGCAACATGATACAAAAGTTATCAAATATCACTGAAATTCTAAAAGACATAAGACATCTATATTGTAATCTCTCATGTGGGGACTAGTAACCACTAGCTAACAGAAGACATTTTAAGGTTTTGGTTGGTCTTGATCCTTATAGATTAGATTTAGGCTGGTAAATTAAAGAATGGCTGGAGTAGCATTTTTTATGCTTCATCAGCTATCTTTACAATAGGACTTCGTAATTTGTGTAATTTCCTGCATTTTGTTTTAAAAATCATAATAATATATGTACCAACTTTACTGAACTTACCAATTTCGCCCGCCATGAAAGTGAGTTCATTGTCTTCAGCTGCTTCGAAATCGTACAAAGCACGCACTTTGCGCGGAGGCGCTGCGTCCGGTATGTCGACGCGCGGGTAGAGCGTGGTAGCTTCGCTGGTCGTCGTTTGCGGCGTAGACTCCCGAAGCGAGAGAGCTATAGCGCGAGCTAGTTCTTCCTGTTCCCGCTGCGCCGCCGCTGCCGCAGAGGTCGAAGTGCTCGTACTAGCGCCCGCGGCTGTAGTCGAGGGCGCCGCGCCCGCCTCACCGCTCTCCGCACGCAACTTAGCATGCAACGAAGGAATCAAGTCCAACTGCGGATCGCTTTTGAACTCCCCCTCGGCCCACTTCCGCAGCAAAGCTCTCAAGCGCTGAGCGACTGGTGGTTGCGCACGCGACAGAAGCCTGCGAAATTCTGTTTCGAAGTCGCGCGAAGCCACCTCCAAGTGGAAGGCTCGGCCGCAGTTGGCGACGCAGGCGTCGAGCAGGGTCGCAGCGTGAACTTGGACGTGTGGGTCTGGGTGCCCGAGGCGGCGCATGACGGCGCGGAGGCAATCTTTCGCATTCTGAGCAGAGGCACCGGCGCGATCGCATATCTCCATTATCAGACCCCATTCTTCGCTTGTGTTGTTCTCACTTGTAGCACGCTCTGCAAAAAAGTTACAACACTTGTCAATTTAAATATAAGTTTACTCGTTAGGAATAAGTCGAGTTTTCGCAAAAATCCTCGGGATTTTGCGACGCGGATAATTAGAAAATGGCAATGATGTTCTCAATTTTACTGAAAAAAGATAGGATTTTTGCGAAAACTTGAGTCGCCTCAATAAGATTGCGAAAAGAATCTTTGACTTATTATAAATATTCTTGGGTTCATACTAGGTTAGGTTAGTGTGGTGACCATGACGCGCGAGCCGAGCGAACGTACCGCGGCACCCACTGGCGAAGCGTCAGATTGGCGGGTGCTAAAGACTGCAGATGCAGCTGGGACCAACGGCCTAACGTGCCTCCGAAGCACGGAGGAACTCGAGATAAAAGATTTTTGGTCACCCATCCAATGACAGACCACTGCTAAAGTTGCTTAACTAACCACCTGCGCCATTGAGCTCCACTTTTATTGCTCAATATTAAGTAAGTATAAGTTTGTATGTACTGTAGTAGTTTTATAAGTCAATAATTTTTCAGAATAATAACCACAGTTTATTGGAATATTTGATAAAAAGAAATATACAGTGAGAGGCCTGTTTGTGTAAGTTTTCCCCTTTTATATCATAGTCGTGAAATAATCTCAGTTATGTCATCATGTAAAGTTATACATTTAATCCCCTGGTCTGCTTGCTGTCATTTATATTTCATACAATAATCAAATTTAATATGTGGGATACATTTACTTTTTCAATAAAGGAAGAAAGAAAACATTTTATTGGTTACACAGCATACATTAAATACAAAACCGAATAGAAAACATAAGGACAAAGAATAAAATAAGAAAAGAAAACTAATTTAATATGCTGATATGCAAGGCCAACAGGTCGCTGTCTCAGCTATGCTACTGTGGAATTACTTTCACAAAATACCACAGCAGTGCTGATTTACAGCCAGCGCCTTAAGCCCCAGTGATTAAAGAGTGCCATTGTCTATTCCAGAATATACTCATAAGATTTTTGCCAAATTGTTAAGGCCATCATAAAAAAACTCCTTTTTAAACAAGATAAATAATCATCACAATAGTTCTAATAATGCGAGTATTATTGCAAGAACAAATTTTTCTTTTTGGGACATAGTTAAAAACTCATTATATTAACACATAATATAACAATAGGTAAGTATATCAAGCAAAAACAACAAAAGTATCAAAGAAAACACAATACCATCCTTAATTAAATTATAAGTCAAAAATTCATATTCTGAATGAATCAGCTTAATTGGGAAAATTTCATTACCTAATAATTCTGACTCAGAAATTATTTATGATGAAATTTAAGAAAATAGCATCTTACTGATGTTAATTCGCAGCATATTTACTAGAACATGGCTTTTACTGTCTGTAGTTATGCTTACTATGGAAACTTATTGTTTCTATCTACATATCAACATGTTACCTTATAATAAATAAATAAAAAAATACCCCATGCGCCTGTAATGCAAAATGGCATACTTTTAATTGTTGTCCCAACACCAGAGTGACTTGGATTACTGATGATTTTCTACTTTCATAACTAGCCAGGCCTGCTATTCATTGTTATGAGGGAAAGCTAACAAATTAACCTTTTTACCCACAGTCTTGCATTACAATATAGGGAATTAATGTTTCATTGAATTTTTAAAAAATTATTGTTGATTTAGGATAACTCTGTAGGTGAATAAACCTATTAGAGATAATAAATTAAACAAAAGCAAGACTTCTTTAGCTCCAGATAACAATGAGTCATTAACAATGGATCGATAAAACGAATGTACACAACGTAATTGAAATAAATTACTAGATTGGGGCCCTTCCGTAAAAGGAACAATGATTAATAAAAATAGCTTAGCCTTAAAGACACGTCGATAATCAATAGTTAGCCAACAAAAATAATACGCACCGACATCTTGGTCGAAGGGAGAAGAACTTCCAAAAAATACCATTTTATATCAATATATTATCGATGAAGATACAAATTTTACAATTAAAAACAATTTTCCAGGAATAAATCATCAACTTAGATGCACTATTTTGATAGAAACTTATCTAAACACAGTAAACACATCCCATTTTTTTTGTGGCAAAATGACTTTTTTTTTTGTTAAGTTCTCCCTTTTCAGGGAAGGCAAGGGGAACAATGCCCATACAGCCTAAAAATTACTTTTTTTTAATAGTTTAACGAACTTGGATTGTGTCCATACAGCCAATTCTACAGTATTATGGCTTCATTTCAGATTTATCTTTATGATCTTCACAGGTAATCTTTTTACCCGACTGCGCAATGCAAGAGCACGAAGAGCGACGCGCAAACAGGGTATCGTGTTTTTTCTTTAACAAGTGTTCAAACGATAAGATACGAAAGCGTAGATAAAGTCGGATAAAAAAAAATGTCTGATTATATTACAGACAAAAATGCTTGGGTATGAACTGTTCCAACCATTCCAACGGGTATTTCTATATGATTTAAATTATGAATTATGTGTTGACAATACTATAATTAAATTGAAAGCTGTATATAAAGTTGATAACTTAAGGAAGATTATCAGACTGTTTAACAATATTTGATTGACAAAACGGCGTGGTCGTGATTTCTCCTTTGCTTTGTTTTTGTAATCGTTTGTTGTGTCTTACAGGTAAATGACCTTAATTTAAGTAAATATGTTGTAGTTAGTTATGGGTAGTCATGCTCTCATAATAGTCTCTTCGGCGGTGTCGTGTGAGGCGGGTCGTTACGTTCCCTAAAATATGGTTGAGCGAAGCGACGGCTGGTTCATGCGTAATGCTCGTGAACGGGTGCTGCCAGCGGTGATGAGTCTGCCCTAACTTCCTTAATATTGAAGTTAATGTTTAGTCACACTGAATATAAATAACACTATTTGTATTTATACTGTATGACACAGCAATCAAAATGCAGGTAAACAATTAATGTATATTTAATAATTATGTAATGAAAAGTGACTTCATGAATCACCTCTGAAGTCATTTTTCAATATGACGACTCTGTAAATAATAAAACAGGGAGAAAAAACAGCCCTTGCTGAGTTTCTTGCCGGTTTTTCTCAGTACAAGGTCTCCCGCCGTAGATTTACGAACCGATGTCGTAGCTTCTAGACATTCATGAGTGCTTGTAACAGCCTAAACTGAATAAATGATTTTGATTATTATGATTATGATTATAAAACTTTATTAAGTTTCCATAGGGTACGGCCAGAGTGCACTCAGATTCAGATTCAGACTCAGAAAACAAGCGCGAGAAATATACAGTGTAGTTAAAGCAGGGTGGCCATAGTGGCAGCTGGCAACCTGCAAAACAAGCGCGAGAAATATACAGTGTAGTTTAAGGGTACGGCCAGAGTGCACTCAGATTCAGATTCAGATTCAGATTCTGAAAACAAGCGCGAGAAATAAACAGTGTAGTCGAAGGGTACGGCCAGAGTGCACTCCTGATTCAGATTCAGATTCAGACAAAGAAAACAAAGCGCGAGAAAAAGCAGGCAACCTGCTTAGACTACACTGTTTATTTCTCGCGCTTGTTTTCAGAATCTGAATCTAAATCTGAATCTGAGTGCACTCTGGCCGTACCCTAACACTGTATATTTCTCGCGCTTGTTTTCTGAGTCTGAATCTGAATCTGAGTGCACTCTGGCCGTACCCATATTCTTGAGAATAGATGGCAGGAGGCAGGAAATGTCATTATCTTTAAATATCTTCAGTAGGCCATCTATTAAAATAATTCTTTCTAAGCTAAAGGCGGGACAATGGTGTCGATTCTGGATTGATTCTCTAGACTTAAAACTAAATTTAACGTCAGTCTCTCCTTTTCGTTCTGTATGTATAATGACAAGGATACACTGTTGACAAATTTAAGTTTAGGTTTAGAGAATCATGCCGGAATCGATACCACTGTTGTCAAATTTAGGATTGGATTTACAGAATCGACACCAGTGTAAGATAAGGTGATCTACAGTTTGTCTATATATATAAAAGTCGTGACATTAAATGATGGCGCCACTAGTATGCATGTAGCAACCCTGTACAGTCGGACCAAAATGATTTTGATACTAGCAGTTCATTCAAGTAAAATAGGTAATTAATAAGACACACTATACAGTCGTATTTTGTTTCTGTTTTATATATAGTAGGTTTTATAAGCATAGGTATGCTTATAAAAAGTTTAGCCAAGCATATTTAATTGAATCAGAATAAAATTATTATAGATAAAATAGTACTTTATAATGTAAAAGTGCGTAATGTTAGTGATTACCGGTGAGGTGCCATTGAGACCAGAGCCGTTGGGTAATCATCAATACACACAAGTATCATCATACGAAGCTTTTTAACACACTTGTTAAGAAAATAATACTAAAAATCATTTTATAGTATATAAAAATTTTATTTAGAGAAACAATTTATAAATGTGCAGTTAGTAAAATTAGTGATAGGTATCTTCACTAAAAGCATCTGGCCATGGTTCTTTATGTGACCGTTTCTTTCTTTGATCGGCCTTGCCTGTTTTCCCAGGAGTTTCAAACTTTCCATCATTCTTAAAACCTTCGTTGACTATCCGACTCTCTGATTTTCCTGAAAAAAAGTAAAAAAATATGTAACGGACTAGTAACAATAACTTATTGACATGAAGCAATTAATTCAAAATTGGTAGAAAACCTGACCGAGTTGAACCATAATAACGTATCAAAAGAAATGGTCGTACTTCAATATTACCTATTTACAATGTCAATCTAACCTAAAAATGTGCAATGTAAACAATGCCTTTTTTGGTCTCAAAATCGTAAATTGAGTAAATTTGTAACTTCAGGCAGATTACAAACAAATAGTTACACGATTACATACCCGTCATAGATGCTGTTAGCCCCTAAACATCGTCCAAATCCCACAAAATTCGTCCAGCTTGGTAGTCTTCGAAACATCGCTGGAAAACTTTAAAAATCACTTCCCGCGTGCCACCCCGATTTACTTTACTCATTTTTATACCTTTCTGCATAGTTTCGTTTTAATTTATTACAGTTTAATCCAAACAACAAAAAATACAAAAGGAAAACTGTTCCAAAACTGAAACTCGATGACAGCTGACGTACATAAGTTTGGTGTTGCCAGACACATGAATAATGTTAGTTCCTCAAACATTCATGTCACGACTTTATAGACAAACTGTAGTTTAACTTCATTCTTATCACAATATTTCCATATTCCTGATGGTTTTAAGTTTATCTTACGTAAATGCGCGCCGAATCCTCCGTGTCCTAATCTGAGCCGGTTGGTAGTAGTTATGAATCTTCTAGTTTGAGAATAAAGCCGAAGTCGCGGCACGAAACTCTATCGCTGACCGTTATTGCGCATAAGTAAAAATTATGAGCAGGTAGAGTTTGCGTTGCGCCGATTGGCTGTCCAGTAGTACCTATGCGCAGATGTCACCTCCGCGTTTTGTTCATCGCTAGAGTTACGCGCCACGACCTGGCATCTACTCTCTTTCTCCGAAACGAAATTTCGGCATTTTTCAGTGACTCTACTCTATTTTATCTTCGAACACGCACATAAAGTTCGGAATCACAGACAATTATCGTGAACGAATGGAATGAGTTATGTTTGTGAGTTCTTTTTATCTACACATTTTAGATAAGTTTTTCACTTCAAAACAATATGGGTGTATTCCGAAATATAAACCAGTACGCTGGCTAGTGGTAATGACGTCTTGATTTCGACGCCACAACAATACTACTACATGGCGTTGAAATCATGACGACATTACCACTGGTGTTAGCCGACTAATTTGTAGAGTTTATGCAATAGAATGCACGTCAACCTAAATTTGTTGTGTAACACTTTGAAGTATTGGCAATACAATGATGTCGATTCTGGTATGATTCTCTAAAGCTAAACTTAAATTTGACAACAGTGTATCTTTGTCATTCTCTATACAAAATGAAAAGGACAGACTGATGTCAAATTTAGTTTTAAGTTTAGAGAATCCTGCCAGAATTGACACCAATAATTAATTAAAAAATGGTTTATTTGTAAATTTTTCATACTAAATAATGTTCCTCGCGCTGAGCAGCCTTAATTAAAAATACTGTAGTTGTAATTAAAAGCTAACACTTTTCATTTCGTCAATGTGAGGTTAAAATTTCGAACAATTATCTGTCAAATTCAACTTTTAGTTCGAAAGTTTTGTGAGTAGGCTTGGAGAGTTTTAATGTCAAACTATTTTTGGACGCGAATTTTCGAAATGAAATAGAAACAGAGTAAGGAACGTGCGAAATTTCGATCGAATTTTCGTTTTTCGTTCAAATAGAGAAGGCCTCCTGTACCACGGCTAAAGAAATGAAATTATTAAAATATTGACATCATTTGACATTAGGATTTTATGACCTTATTCCAACCCTATACATAGTATCAAATGGACGGAACATTTCACAAAAAAGCGTGGCCATTTTTCTCAGTGTGTCGCTGTCAATGAGCATGTGTGGGTGTGTCTAGAGAAGCGACAAAAATTCAAGTGTTTGGGGTTATCAATATAAACATAAATTAGTTTTTAATTTCATATCAACTCGTGACTATTATAGGTAGAAGATTATATTTTAATATAATAAATACTTATTTTCATTATGATTGTGTTTCAAATATGTATCTTTTTTTCACAATGCATTTTAATTTTATTGAAAATATGTACCCACGTGATTGTCTTTTGATTATCAAATAGGAATTCGAACATAAGGATTTCGATGGCTCAAGTGGTAAGCGGTCGTGAAAGTTCCTAACTTCGACGATCGCACTCCGAAGCCACTATTTGGTTATGACCAAACCCTCCATATTATGGGATAAGTGACCAAAAATTAACTATCTATTTCTCCTCCGTACTTTGAAAGGCACGTTAATTTGTTGGTTCAGTATACATCCACAGTTGTTAGCACCCACCAATCCGCACTGGACCCACATTGTAAGTCATGACGCAGTCTCCCTATGCCATTCAGAAGCGAAGGCCTGTGCCCCTGTAGTGGGGGCAATAATAGGCTGATGATGAATTCATAGCTTAACTTTAAACTCATTTTCATCTACCTACATTTTTGCAAACAAAATGTTTATATTGCAAATCAAACAGTTGCCGTGCCTCGTTGCATCTTACAGTTTAATGTTAGATTAAAACAAAGGCATTTATGATTTGAAATAAGAGTTTAGTGTACAAAAAATTAAAAATCTTATTGCTTGCAATATCTCCTAAAATATTTATATTGCCCTTTTGAATTTATGCTGTGAAGTCATTTGTATTATATATTTGTACATATATTAATAAAAAACAATAATTTACATATTATTTACTAACTTTAACAACAGATGTAATTAAGAAAACAGGTTATACTAATGAAATACTTATAAAATCAATTAAAGTTATTGATATTATTAAAAAAATGTTGTGGTAATGCATCCGTTTTGAGTCTTGATTCATTAGTAAGCATGATGTTTGAAAATATTACGAACAAAGTTAGGAATATTTCGTAAGTCCCCAGATATCAAATTAACAGCTTTGATCTGCTCTCATCTCACATCGGCATCTTGAGAAACTAAAACAAATTGTTTATACATATAAACAAAAAAAAAATCTCAAGATTTAAAAGTCTAGCAGTTATGTTTAAAATAAAAACTAAACTACTGTTATCGATAAAACTATGTAAAAAGTACAGCTCTAAAATATGTTATTTTCAATGCGAATTTGAATTCAATTTTATTGATATATTCATGAATTTGTGACGTAAACTCAATAGATCCCAATGATTGTATTATTCTGTTATAAAAATACCAGTAAGTATATGTACAAAAATATTTGATAAGATATGACTACGACTTACACATGAAATGATAATTCCGGGTTTTGATTCTTTCTTTTTCCGGCATTATCTTAAACTTGTATATAATTTTCACGCTTAACACTACGAATTCTTTTCAATTTATGAAAATACCACACGTCACTGCAATGTTGTGAACATATTACTCGGACAATCGTAGGCCATAATTTACAAGCATCACTATATGGTTTCTGATTTACAGTTTGTCTATAAAGTCGTGACATGAATGTTTGAGGAACTAACATTATTCATGTGTCTGGCAACACCAAACTTATGTACATCAGCTGTCATCGAGTTTCAGTTGTAGAACAGTTTTCCTTTTGTATTTTTTATTGTTCCGATTAAACTGTAATAAATTAAGACGAAACTACGCAGAAAGGTATAAAAATGAGTAAAGTAAATCGGAGTGGTACGCGGGAAGTGATTTTTAAAGTTTTCCAGCGATGTTTCGAAGACTACCAAGTTGGACGAATTTTGTGGGATTTGGACGATGTTTATGGGCGAACAGCATCTATGACAGGTATGTAATCGTGTAACTATTTGTTTGTAATCTGCCTGAAGTTACAAATTTACTCAATTTACGATTTTGAGACCAAAAAAGGCATTGTTTACATTGCACATTTTTAGGTTAGATTGACATTGTAAATAGGTAATATTTTAGTACGACCATTTCTTTTGATACGTTGTTATGGTTCAACTAGGTCAGGTTTTCTACCAATTTTGAATTAATTGCTTCATGTCTATAAGTTATTGTTTCTATTCCGTTACATATTTTTTTACTTTTTTTCAGGAAAATCAGAGTGTCGGATAGTCAACGAAGGTTTTAAGAATGATGGAAAGTTTGAAACTCCTGGGAAAACAGGCAAGGCCGATCAAAGAAAGAAACGGTCACATAAAGAACCATGGCCAGATGCTTTTAGTGAAGATATCTATCACTTATTTTACTAACTGCACATTTACAAATCGTTTCTCTAAATAAACTTTTTATATACTATAAAATGATTTTTAGTATTATTTTCTTAACAAGTGTGTTAAAAAACGTCGTATGATGATACTTGTGTGTTGATGATTACCTAACGGCTCTGGTCTCAATGGCACCTCACCGGTAATCACCAACATTACACACTTTTGCACTATAAAGCACTATAAATTGCACTATAAATCTATAATAATTTTATTTTGATTCAATTAAATATGTTTGGCTAAACTTTTTATAAGCATAGGTACCTACTATATGTAAAACAGAAACAAAATACGACTGTATAGTGTGTCTTATTAATTACCAATTTTACTTGAATGAACTGCTAGTATCAAAATCATTTTGGTCCGACTGTATAGGGTTGCTACATGCATCGGTGGAGGGAGCTACACGGGCACGTCCAAGTAGCCCTCCGCAGCGGACGGGGGGGCGGTACGGTGGGCACTAGGCCGCGTACTCAGCCCCCGCGCGCGGGCCTACCCGCGCACGTCTGCGGGGTCCCCGCGATACCCCGGGAGACCCCTGCCGTGGAGCCCCGGCTTGGCCGGGAGGCTGCTAGGTGCGGAGACGCGGAGAATCCCTAAACGGGGATCCCGCGGCTTCGCGCTAAGCAGCTTAGAGGGTATTCGCAGGACTTTTTTAGCGGATATTATACCGTAAAGCGCCCGTAAGAGTTGCGGGGTCTTCGGTGGGCAGCCACTGGGGGGTTCGTAAGACTAGCGGGAGCCAGGTGTGAGGTCCGTTCGGCGGTGTGCCTCTTAGGGGCGTCGTCGTCTGTAAATAGATTTTTTACCTGCGTATTAAAAAAAAAAAAAAAAGGGTTGCTACATGCATACTAGTGGCGCCATCATTTAATGTCACGACTTTATAGACAAACTGTACACCGATAATCAACAATGGTGTCGATTCTGGATGATTCTCTAAACCTTAACTTAAATTTGACAACAGTGTATCCTTGTCATACTTTATACAGAACGAAAAGGAGAGATTGATGTTAAAAATTTAGTTTTAAGTAAGTGATCATGCCAGAATCGACTCCATTGTCAAACTTACATCAACTAGACAGAGATGTATGGAAAATAGTTCCATCCGTCATTCAGGCTGTCAAATTTCAAGCTTCGTCCATTTGATACTATGTCTATGATTCCAACGTTCAGGAACGAAAATTCAATAGAATCAATCTCAATCTATGTACGTAGGTACGTAATCGTAATCAAGGTTATTACAGAAACAAAGAAAATTATTTAAGGCAGGACAATACTAATCTGTCGCGTTGTGTTGTAACGCGATAACGGCCTCTAATGTGATGCGTAGCGTTCACATCTATCTGATGCCTTCTGACGTAGCGTCGCCAGCCAGAACGTTACTTCTGAAAATATTTGTCGTTACTTTTGACCCTGTCGCATTACCTTTCATTTACCAAAGCCAAATCGCGTGTAACTGAAAATGATAATCGATTTCTTTTATTATTTTGTTTTAAGTACTTAATTATTTTTTACTTTTCTGTATTTTATTCAAAAATCTTCTTTTTTTTTATTTAATTGAAATACAATTCAACTAATTTAAATATCGTCAAATCTACCCCGTGTCATTCCTGGTGTCGTTCAAAGGTGCCCATTATGCTTGCAGCATTCCCATGCTACATGGAAATATATAGTCTTTATACCAGAAACGACCCGGAGCAAGGATCATCAGTTTTTTGCCTGAATCGGCGGCCCAGGTTCCATACAAATCGCCTGGTTACCGCGCTCCAACAAGTAATATTTTATATTTTAAGTAATTTGAATTATGTCTTTATCTTAACTTCTCATTTGTCGAATATAAAATAGAATACAGGGTTAATTTTAAAATACCAGTAACCTTGTAGTTCTATAGGTTATAACATAATACACAACAACGTTTGTTCTACGAGTTTTGACATTTTGAGTTTGAGTTCGTTACATTTTATTATCATAAAAAAAATGCAATCTTCGGTGTAATATGTGGATGTAATCTTTGAATAAGACTCTTTTACTTCGGATAAAGTTAGCCGCCATTCTTTCTGTTTTCTTTTGGGGGCAGAAGAAGGCTTAGTTTAATATAAAAACAAGAATCAAGGGCCTTCAAAGAATTTAATTCGAAATTTATTAGAAATACCGCTCTTTGAAACTTGGCGCCCTTTATTCATTATGATTTTTCTTTTTTATTTGACTTTGACATTACTGGATTTCTCTATGGATTACCAATAAAGCTCTATGGATTTTGGTCGCGTTCGTTTCTTGGCTCGCTCGCTAATTTCTTTTAGAAATTAATAATGGATTTGCTAAAAGATATTGACAAAAATGTGACCAACTGAAAACATAATTGCTTGTATTTTACAGGAATTATGCATTTTGTGGTGAACCTGCAGGATATTTGAGGAAAACTGGAAGATTTAATGGTATGCTGCCATAATTTTGGCAACCAAATATTTGATTGCTTTGGTAACCGGTGGTAGGTAACGCTTTGGTGTCTCAGGAACATAATATTCCTTCGATCGTGCATATAAAATACAGATATTAAATATTAGAAAGACTGAATAACTGTAGCGCCATGTGGCATTGACAGTCAGTAAAAAGAAACTATTTAATAATGAACGAAAGAGGTCACTAGTCCTATCGGACCACACGTCTTATTGAAGATTTTTTGTTAAATTTATAGGTAATTCTAACCTGTAAACAATAGAGCAATGGCTAAGAAAAAGAAGCCAGCAGGTAAAACTCCGGCGACCCGGCGTACATCACGTCGCGGCAAGCAAGCCAGCAACGTTGATGGCGAACCGTCATCGTCTGCTGAGCCACCGCCTGTTGATTCAACAGCAGAACCTACTCAATCTACTAGTAATGCTAATGAAGGAAAGTCAGCATCTCTCAAGCAATCAACCTTGCCCATTACTAAGCCATGCCAAGTACCAATTGTAGCCTTGCATAAGAAATTTGGCAAATATCGGTGTTTATTTAACAATGAAGAAACTTTAAAGAAAAGTGAAGTTGGTAGTGACAGTGAAACAAGTAGCAGTGTAGAAATAAAAGTAGTTGATCCCTGTGCTGGTTCTGAATCTGATTCAAATACAGCACTGGACACACCTTCAGAAACAAATGTTGTTTTGTGCCCAAGTCCTAGCAATACAGTCATTACGGTGCAGAGCCAAAGTAGCTCAGGAAATGTATCTCCAATTTCTTTGTTAGGTGAAATCCAAACTTCCACTAAAAATGCATCAGTAGATGATAATAATGGACAAAAGGACAATAATATGGATTCAGAACTAGAAGCAGCCACTATTCCTGTAATAGACATTACTGAAACTGAATCACTAGATAAATGCATCGAAGAGACACCAAATGTCTCTGAACAGGTAACTCTGGTGTCTCAAGATGTTCCGTTGGAGGAAGAACATATTGATCAAGTTGAATTTGCTGATGATGATGATGAGGTCATCACAATTGTGCAAATAGTAGAAGATGACAATCCAGAATTATATTATAATATCAAGATGGATAGTCCAAAAGATGAAGCTAATGAAGAAAGTAAAAAGGATGCTGAAATTCAGCGTCATTTTGAAAAACTTAATCTGGCCAATACCAGTGAAGCCAATTCTCTTATGGAATTTAATGACTCATTGAACTCGAACAACACCCCATGTAGCACACCTGACTTACAATTACCTAAGGAACATTTGGATGTGCTAGCAAGGCCAGATCCTAGTATTACTCCGAGCTCAACATTATCAGATGATAGCAATTCATCAAGGGTTACAGAACAAAATCAACCTAACTCTAATGATTCAGCAGAGTCATCACCTTCAGGTGTTCGGCGATCTAGTCGTATAAAGACAATTAGCCATATGAAACAAAAGACTAAAGGCTATGGATTAGTTAAAACTCCTTTGAAGAAAGCTTTGATAACACAGACTAAACTAAAGTTAGAAGAACTGGGGTCAGATAGTCAAGAGAAATCATCCGATACTTTAATGATAAATGCTCCAAACTCTCCATCATTCCCTATACCTTCTGATATGCCTGTTAAAGTGAAGTCTCGGTGGAGGAGATCAAGTGAATTAGAAATGGGAGCTGGCTCACCTGCTAACTCACCACTAGCTAGTCCTAGTTTACCAAACCGGATGCCTCCGTTAGCTGAAATGAATAACACAGAGGATGATATTCGTCCACTGTCTAAGGAGGCTTATGACAAGATAATAGATGATCGAATGAAGCAATATGAACATTTGGAAGAAAATGAATATTTATGTGATAGAATGATTAGTAAGGAAACGAAGAAAATGACATGTGACTGTTTTATGACCAAAGAAGAACTTGAAAGAGGTGAATTAGCTTGTGGAGAAGACTGTTTAAATAGATTACTCATGATAGAATGGTAAGTAAACAGGAAAAAATATCAATTGTCAATATCAATCCTAAAAAGTTAGTTAATTAACCCAAAATTTCATTTATTTCACAGTAACTCAAGATGCCCCGTTGGTGATAGATGCACAAACAGAAGATTCCAAAAAAGAGAAAATGCATCTTTAAAGGTTTTTTATGCAGATAAAAAAGGTTGCGGCGTGGAAGCTGCATTAGATATATCAATGTGAGTAATAAGTACTAACATTGCTTAAAATTACAAATCATTAATCAAATGTTTTGTTACGCAAGCATAAACCTACCTTTTACAAATATCACCTGGATATGCTATGAAATATTTTGTTAAATATTAGTCGTAAAAAGTAAACTTTAATAAAAGAGTTTTGGTAGAGTTGAGTAACACTTACCTTTTTCCACAGAGGTGAATTTTTAATGGAATATGTAGGAGAAGTATTAGATTATGAGCAGTTTTACAAAAGAGCTCAGGAGTATTCAGATGAAAACAACTTGCACCACTACTTCATGTCTCTAAAGGGAGACACAGTCATTGATGCAACTATGAAAGGCAACATATCTCGTTTCATCAACCACTCATGTGACCCAAATGCAGAGACTCAGAAATGGACAGTCAATGGAGAGCTTAGAATAGGCTTCTTTAGCAAAAGGGACATTCCTGCAGGAGAGGAAATTACTTTTGATTACCAGTTTCAGAGATTTGGGTAAGTGCACTTAATGAAATGAAATAGTAATCCAATAACTTCTAACATAGGGTTCCAGTGGTGTCATAACTGGGGCTTTTTTCATCCTCCCCTTGAAACCTTGGTAGTAGAAAATAAGATTGTTTCAAATCAAGTTCTAATTATTATGCTTATAGTTATTGGGTATGTAAAATGTACAATATGAATCAATGATTTCATTATAATAATGAGAACTGCAAATATAATTGAGTTTTATTGGCATGTATTAAACTTGTAACTAAAAACATTTGCATGCCAATTGGGCTGTTGTTCTGTATGTATTTTTGTATGTCTGTGAGAGAGCAGGTGGTTTAAAATTTTCTTTTGTTATCCACACAAAAATTGTTTTTAAAAGTGATTACTGTTTCACAAGCTCTATGTGTATTTCAGAAAAGTGGCACAGAGATGCTATTGCGGTGCTAGTAATTGCCGTGGCTGGATTGGTGCTGAACCTGATTCCGATGACGAGGAGGTAATTATGATTTGCTCAAATTCATAAATTTAATTAAGTGCACCGTTTTTAAGCACAACAATGATTTGCAAGAATTTGAAATAAAATTGGAATACCTTATTCATTAATACCTAAGAGCATGTTCCCACTTTGTTGTGCCAGTTAATTTATCATTGGACTACTATCGACTAGCTGATCCCATATACTGACTGTTTGTCATAATTGAGTCGTTTAAATTCTTCTCGTTGTCCAACTCAACTCAATCTTGCTGTACTCCTTGACGCCATTTTTTAAGAACCAACTTACTGCATACTAATATCATAAATAACTAATATTATTTGGTTTTCGTAGGAAGAAGAAGAGGACGTATCAACATCTAAGACTGTCGAAGAGAGCGCAGAAAGCCGACCCGCGACGGACGAGCCGCGTCCGCGACCCCGCCCGCGCGAACGCAAGTACAAACCGAAGGCCAATGACCTCGTGCAAGACGCTGATGTAAGTACCTACTATTATAACGAATGTTTGTTTAATATGAGCTGTTTCTGTTTGATTTTATAATTATTGAATAATGAATGACGTTTCCAATTATTTTCTTTCCGTTAAGTCTAAGCTCTGGAGTTGTTTTGAATAACTAGTGATTATTTTTTTTGCCAAAAAGTCAATTAATATCAATTTCACTTAATAAACTATGGGGCACTTTTTAATAAGCAATCTAGTCAAAATATGGCTCCTTTATATATATTTGTTATGAATTACATGTTCATAGCAATCTGCAGCTATATCTCATACTACTTGTTTATGTAATTAAGCATTAACAGTCATTGTTTACACTAATACTAACATATTTTTTAATGAATATTTCTCTATCTACCAGCACCATCTATCAACTACAGTAACGTTGCGATATTCATGACTAAAAATATTTTGTAATGTTCTAAAATTCTGTTTATCGCAATTCTTAATTCATACTATGGATAAGAATAAATAACGATAAATTAACCTACAGTAGATATAAAGTGCATATTCTATTACTCTTCTTTAGTTGGAAGAAGACCTGGAGGCGCTCAGTCGCACCGGAGTCAAGAACCAAAGTCACACGCTGCGTTTGTCGCGTACCGTGGTTCGGGCCAAGACTCGCCGCGCGCAGACAGCCTTACTGCGACTGTTGCGCGACGCCGACCTGCCTTGCCGCCGCCTGTTCCTCGACTACCGCGGCCTCAGGCTGCTGGCGCCCTGGTGTAGCGACGCGCCCAACGACTTCAGGCGAGTGTGAAGACCATTTCAGGAAAAACCGTTTCAGAGGCCCAAGCTCGAGTTTTCGACAGCTCCGCAACGTATCGCATCGTCAAAGTTTCCATGGAAATTAAACAGCCCTCCAACTAGAGGTACTCGATACGATATACAATACTCTATAGAGCTGCCAAAAACTCGTGTTTGGCGTTACGTGGAATGGATCACTGATCAGAAATTCAGCTTTGCCGCCGCCTGTTCCTAGACTACAGTGGCCTCAGGCTGCTGGCGCCCTGGTGTAGTGACGCGCCCAACGACTTCAGGCGAGTGTGAAGACCATTTCAGAAATATCAGTTTCAGATCAAACAGTCTCAGTGCGTTCAGTGGAAGTTCAGCAACGGCCGGTTATTGGGTGACTGACTTTTCTTTTCCTCGATTCTTGCGGCCTCAGGCTGCTGGCGCCCTGGTGTAGCGATGCGCCCAACGACTTCAGGTGAGTGTGAAGATCGTTTCAGTATCACTTTCTAAAGGCCAGTGGACTGCCTTTCTGCGAAGTGTATGAAGCAGTGTTATTTTGGGAAGCACAGCGGTGAGAACTTTCCTAATGGGCAATTTAGAATAGGTGATCAAGAATTCTACCTGGCCGTCGCCTGTTCTTTGACCACCGCGGCTTCAGGCTGCTGGCGTCTTGGTGAAGCGACGCGCCTAACGACTTCAGGCGAGTGTGGAAACCATTATAATGTAACTATATAGCCTCGAATACATTATGGGTTAAATACTGCATTCAGGCGAGGGTGGAAACTATGATAATGTGACTATATAGCCTTATTGCAACATGTTGCGGAACAAGACCCGCAACAACTACGTCAAATATCGCGGAACAAATCTTGCGAAACATTTTGCTGGCCACACTAACAACATTAGTCAATGCTTATAGATATTTTGCACAAGGAGGTTGTGGTAATAGGCTAGTTGCCTATATTTTAAAAAGTGGTTAATAATATACCTTGATGTTTATTTAACCCCAAAAAAATATTATTTTATATAAAAAAGTACAATAGCAATATGTATTTTGTATTTTAAAAAATTTATTCAAATTTCCCTCGAAAACGCTCTAGACTGTCATGGCGTCTAGAATGACGTCACGCCGTGCAAAGCAAACAATACGCTGTACGCCGACTATTAAAATTATTTAGTTAAAAATGAATCCATCGTATTACAAGTACTGTATAGTGTCCTAGTATAAAAGGAGAAGCATAAAACGCCAGACAAATTATTTATATGCCACAAATGCGGAAAAAATGGTTAGAACTTGCAAGGAGGGATGGTACCTATTCATTGTTTATCAACAAATACAAGAATAATTTTGTGATGAACATTTTGATGTAAGTATTTTGCATAACACAATCAATGAAATCAAAATGTTATACAAGCCGGATAAATTATATTGCATTATATTGATAAAACAATGACAATAGGTTGAGGTTAGGTAAGTTGATTTAATTTTATGATATGATTTAGAGTCTATTTGAGAGTTCAGTATATTTATTCATAATAATAAACACATCTTATTCTTGTTCTAGTTGCCAAATGATATGCTTATTTATGTCGAGTAGTTATGCGATTAATTTTTTATTTTGGTTAAAATATTATTATTTGCTTCGGTAAATCCCAATTCCATGGATTTATTAGGCTTCCTTTCAATACTTATCTGAAAACAAACTGATAAATTGTAGTTATAATTTTTATTATTTTTAAAGCATGTAACTGCTTGATGTTTAAATCTAAATTGATAAATTGTATCAAAGTAACAATAACATGAATGAGATATCAATGAAATGTATGGAAACGGCCACCACAAGTAATGTTTTGCACGTGGTGACGTCAGTCTTTCTGATTGGTGTTTGCCGTCACGTGATCTAATGCCTATTTTATTCGAATTTATTTTCTAAAAATAATAATAATCTTTAATTATTATGATAAATAGCTTTATTTTTTGTTATCTGTATATCATAATTCATATTTAGAAACTGTAACCCATTCGATTTATTGTTAGTTGACACAAGCCTATTACTGCAGGGTTCATACTTATTTTGTGAGAGATGCGTAATTTCGATTCTCTAAGTTAAATTCCAAGTTCAACAAAAATTTGTAAATTTCTGACCATAATTTGATGTTTCCATAGATGGGAGATGCTACAGACGGTGGATCGGTTGCCGATAACGAACAAGACTATGGTGCAGGAGAGCCGCTTCTTTACCATAGTGGAGCGGTGGCTCAGTACCGCAGACAACATTGCCGACTTGACGCTCATAGACGAAGGTACCGGTAAGTAAACCTTATTTCTTTAATAATATGATCCAATTCTATATCACCTTAGTGGAGCGATGGCTCAGCACCGCAGATAACATTGTTGACTTGACGCTCATAGAAGAAGCTACCGGTAAGTTAATCTTATTTCTTTAAAAATATGATCCAATATTGTATAGCGAAATGACTATGCAGGAGAGCCGTGCCTTGTTCTTTGCCATAGTGGAGCGATGGCTGAGCACCGCAGGTAATATTGCCGACTTGACGCTCATAAACGAAGCTACCGGTAAGTGAATCTTATTTCCTTAACAATAGGATCCAATATTGTATCACCATATTGGAGCGATGGCTCAGTTCCGCGGACAACATTGCTGACTTGACGCTCATAGACGAAGCTACCGGTAAGTGAACCTTATTTTTTTTAATAATATGATCCAATTCTATATCACCTTAGTAGAGCGAGGGCTCCGCACCGCAGACAACATTACCTACTTCAATCTCATAGACGAAGCTACTGGTAAGTGAACCTTATTTCCTTAATAATATGACCTATTGTACCACCATAGTGGAGCGATGTACCGGTAAGTAAACCTTTTTTCTTCAAAAATATGATCCAATATTGTATAGCGAAATTACTATGCAGGAGAGCCGCTTCTTTACCATAGTTGAGCGGTGGCTAAGCACCGCAGACAACATTGCCGACTTGACACTTATAACGAAGCTACTGGTAAATGAACCTTATTACTTTTATATGGTAATGTGAACAGCGCCACAACGGACGGAACAAGAATTAAAAATCTTCCATATAAAACTTTTTGGCATTTGACTCAATGTATTCTTACCCAATTCATCAGCTGTGGAAATATGTGAGTTCTATCCCCAAATATACTAGTGTATTTTTCTACCTTTGTTGTCAGGTTTACCTGTAGAATCGGCTAACAGAACTGCCCAAGACGCTGCCATGGAGAAGAATAAAGAAATCTCACTGAAAGTAAAGGAACTGTCGAGCCAGTTGCTTGAGCGGTGGTCTAGCCTTAAGGTATTTATTTGGTTCCCTGCTATTGAAAAACAAAAGTATACATTTAATGCAGGCACTTCAATGAGGATCATTACTAGGTCAGCAAATCAACTCAAAATCTACAATATAATGATCTTGCAAGCTTTTTAATTAATATACCTTTTTAAATTATCGAAATCGTTTAATTATTTGCGATTTTATAACTAATTTTATGGTAGCCAATATTCACCGGCGGCCGATACGTGTGATGTCACAGAGCTCGATCGTGATTCACTCCGGTCGAACTTTAGTAGCGTCTTTACGCACGCTTAGCGCCCGAGCGCCAGAGCTCTGTGACGTCACAGTCACCACGCCGTCAGTATAAATCTGCATTCTCAACTAATAGCGTTACGGATCAACATTGGCTGCTCGTGTTTGCTATTTGTAAACTTGACATCGGTCTGTCGCTTTCATTCCTTATAAAGCATGGTAAGGACAGACTGTTGTCAAATTTATAAATAGCAAACACGAATAGCCAAGTGAAGTGCCGGCATAATAACCATAGGGCGCTTTCAATTTATGCGTTTTGTGACGGCCTGCTGCGGTGCCGAAGCGGTGCGTTTGTCGTACAGCGTACGGACGATCCTTTTTTTTTCACACAAAACGCGTGGTGCGGCAACAGTGCGGCGCCGGTACCGCAAACGCTCGACAACAGCGCCCTTATATTTGTAAACAGTTGGTTGATATATATATAATTGACACGGGTTTTTTTTCCAATTCCTTTTATGTTGAACAAATACTTATGATTTCTTAATTTCCGAATATCGTCTCTGACCTCTTTATTTTAATATACCATTTATTTCTAGGAAGTCTTCAAAATTCCCAAAAAAGAGCGTATACAGCAAATGAAAGAACACGAACGGCAAGCAAATGTCGAAAGGCGAGCCGCTGATTCTAGCGGCTCTAGAGAAAGGGAGCGCGAGAGAGACAGAAGAGAAGAGAGGGACAGACGGGAAGAAAGAGATAGAAGAGAAGAGAGAGATCGGCGCGAAGAGAGGGAGAAGGAGAGAGAGAGGGAAAGGGAACGGGAGAGAGAACGCGAACGCGAGAGGGAAAGGGACCGCGAAAGGGATAGGTATAGAGATCGCGATAGAGACGACAGAGATAGGAGGAAAAGGCGTGGCAGCAGCCCCGAAGGCAGAAGAAGTATAAGGTGAGTTGTTTTTTTTTTTCTAGATTGTCATTTATTGTTTAGCGTGCTAACATTTGTGAATATGTAGGCTATTTGGCAATTTTTTGAAAATGTTCATACTTCATATATTCGTGTATAATGACTGCATAAAAAGTGGATATTTATTATTCTATTGTGTATAGCAGTAAAAATCGAAAATAAATATTTTATTTTCAAATATGCAGCGGAAACGTTTCTCTTGCAAATATGGCGTGTTTACTGGCAGGTGACGTCACACGCTTCTCATTCAATGAAACGTCAAATAGTACAAAGTAATTTCACTTTGTCAGGATGTGTACAATCTTAGGCGTTTTTGGTCACGAGACAATAGATAGAAAATACTTTTCTCATTTGTGATTTTTACTAATATAATTTTAAAACTACTTTTTTTTGTCAGTATAGTGAAATCACTCGCAATATTCATGTTGAATGAATACAGATGCTAAAATTGTTTCTTTATTTTTCATACTGACAAATAGCCTATTATGTATGTTTTTTTTTGTGTATGAAACAGTTACAGTGATTGAAAGTACATTCCCTTTTGGTGGCGATGCATAATCTGTCTATGAGGTTAGGGATTCTGGGGCTCCACGGCCTAAGCAACGGCGCGAGTGATACTTTGGTATGGCAAGCATCTATAGGCAAGGGTGGCCGTTGACCATCAGGCGGATCATATGCCTGTTTGTCAATCTTTTTAAATGAGTAAAAAACATATAACATATTTTGTAAATAAATATTTTACTATTATTATTATTATTGTATTTATATACCAATGGGGCTGACCTTGGCTGTTTATATTTTTCCGTTTAACATTTATATACATCCTGTAGATCGGAGTAGTTCAATTACACACTGTGACACGAGAATTTTATATATACGTCTATAATATAATACAATTTTTATTTCCCCAATAATGTCAGGTTAAGTGAACGCGTTTTGGCATCAGTACCACCAATGAGCAAGGAGGAGAGACGGCGAGCGTTCGCCGAAGCGGCCGCCGCCGCCGACGAGAATCGAACCCGGGCCTGTGAGCAACCGTGCTGGCCGCAATACTGGCCTAACCAAGAAGGATTCCCACACCAGGTACAGGTAAGTGATAAAGGTTGAAGCGAAAATAATCATATGATCTTATATCTATAATTTAATACGATTAAATCTGCTCGACCCGGTCCCACATCTATATATCAGAAGAGAGCACCATAAGGCACGATTTATGGTGGTATAGATTGTGCCTTATGGTATACTAAGAAAAGTTTGAGCTCTCTTGAGTTGAGTTCCATTAACGACGATAGATGACAGAGTAAATACCTGTTATCTTTACCTAATGATTTATTTTTTGCGAATACGAACACCTCTCTATCCTGGTCCGACGACAGGTAGCGCTTACAATATCTACACCTAATTATAGTGTGACCAAGATCTTATGAGACTTGACATTGGCAGGAGGGCGCTGTTGGTGAACAAGTGATAAAATAATGATTACTAAGTACAGGCAGTCCTCGAACTTACGGCATGTTAGGTTCTCGAAATACGCGACGTAAATCGAAACGACGTTAATCGAGACATATTTTTTCATATGTTTACATGTACTCAAGGGTTGACCTCGCGACAAGTGAATTCTCCTATGCCGGAAATCGGAACAATTGAGGTGTGCTTGAGGAAAAGTGTCAAAACATTATTCGACGTAACTTGAAACGACGTAAGTCGAGGACTGCCTGTACGTAAAATCTCAATAAAGGGAACGTTAAAATTTATAATAAGTCGGAAAGAGTATTACGAAATTGAAAAGGCTTTTAACACGTTCCTAAAATTACTTCCAATTTCGGCCACGCGCCTCTAGATCGTGGTCGCACTGTAATGTATTAGGTAGCGTTTTATTAATATTGCCATGTATTAATTCTTGTTTAGAACATGCAAATGTTCCCTGGCGCTATGATGCCGGGCCCGGGCGGCATGGGGCCGATGCCTGGAGTGGGGGGAGTGCCCCCCTGCGACGGCGAGTGGGGGGGAGAGTTCCCCCAGCAGTTCTGTCCGCCGTTCTCGCAGCCCTTCTGTATGCCGCAAGCTAAGTGAGTGCCTCAATAGAGATTTCAACTTGACGACTCTGTATATACAATACAGGGAGAAAAAAACAGCCCTTGCTGAGTTTCTTGCCGGTTCTTCTCAGTACAAGGTCTCCCGCCGTAGTTTTGCCAACCGATGGCGTAGCTTCTTGACCTTCACAAGTGCTTGTAACAGCCTAAACTGAATAAATGATTTTTGATCGATTGATTTGTGATATATCATTGTTATGGCAGAAGACTTGTTTAATAGGAGAAAAAATTATTGATACATTATTGTCATATAATAAATTTATTATCGCAATGAAATTTAGAGGAGTTCCGGTAAATGTTGATGTTGCGCATCTAATCGAACTACATATTATTCAGAAAATAAGATAACTATAACTTTTGAATTTTAATATAATATCCAATCCCTAATTGTTTACCTTCAAATGTTACTATCACTATACTGTTCTAGGACATTCGCAAACTCGAACAACAAAATGTAAAATCTTAAAGATTTTACCTAATTTGGTATAATTGAGTTGAAGTATGCAAATATCTTTCAGTGATATGAGTTCAAATCAGACACATCAACCTTACTGATTTTAAATTATTTCAGATCTCAACCTAGAATTAACTTCTGGAAAACCATACCTAAGATTTAAATAAGAAATTCTTGGAATCTCTCTTTTCTTATTCTTATTATTCCTATTTTCTATTTTTATTTAATGTGAATATTTGGCCAGTATGATGGGAATGGGCGGATTCGGCATGGGCGGCTTCATGTTCGGCCAGCAGATGCCGCAGTTTGCGCCGCAAGCGCAGCCGCAGCTGATGGACCCATCGCTACCAGTAAGTGCTTTATAAGTCAATAAATGTATGTCATCATCATCATCATTATCAGCCTATTAATGTCCCCACTGCTGGGGCACAGGTCTTCCCTATGGATGGAATAGGGAGATTGAGCCATGACCCACCACGCGGGCCCAGTGCGGATTGGTGGGTGCTAACGACTGTAGATGCAGTTGGGACCAACGGCTTAACGTGCCTTCCGAAGTACGGAGGAACTCGAGATAGAAGATTTTTGGTCACCCATCCAATGACCGACCACTGTGAAAGTTGCTTAACTTCAACGATCGCAGCAGAACGCGCTAATCACCTGCGCCATCGAGCTCCTTGTAAATGTATTATAGTAAATGTATGTATGTATTATCGATTGAATAAAATTACCGGCAGTTTTAATAGCCGATCTTCAGTAATAGCAACTATTAGAGCTACTTTGCCTAGATTTTCCATTAGTTGACATGAATCAATAACTGCTGTTTTGAAAACAAAATGTGGCACGATAAGTATATCGTCTCGAAGGAAAGAAAGAAGTAATAAAAATTATTACTACATATTAAATCGTCATTGTTTGTTTGTCAGGAAATCTCGTTATTTCTCGGGAGTCTGAGGATCCCATAAGAAATGAAATCAAAATAAGCATACATTTTACTGGAGTTAAAATTTTATTGAAACTTTATACACTAGAAACCTTTGCAGTGATGCGACTGATGCGTCCAGTCAGACATTTTTGAAGTATGCAGGAATAATTTGCTAATTGGACAGAATGTCTTGTGTCGTGACTTTCGACTTGTATCTTTATTGGCACGAGATATGCTTACTTTATCACGTATTTATCAAAACTCTTCATCAAGGAAAAGGCAGTCCCGGTATCTATAATAAATAAGCTAATATCCTTTAACTATTGCTGCTTAACAATGACTCAAAACCAAATTATAACTAATATGAAAGGGAGAGAGGTGTATCTATGGCATTTCCTGACTTTCATACGTAACAAGTGGCCGCCTGCACTTCGTCTCCGTTAATTTAAGTTACGCGCAACTTTCTTCTTTTTAATTACCTTGTAAACTGTATAACAAAACTTAAAAAAATGGATGAAATGGCTAAAGTCGTTATTAAATTATAATTATGTAAAAATTTGTAAGTAAGCAATAATATTTGTCATCAAACATCGATTTATATCTCAACAGCCACCAGGAATGATGATGCCCGACCAGATGCCCAACACATCAATGCCCCCAACTGGGGTAGCTCCTACCCCTGGAACTAGCGAAGGACAGGAAACGCTTCTCCCTTCCATGTGGCGATCGGCTAAAGACGAGAAGGGCCGCACTTATTACTACCACGTAAAGCTAAGACAGCCTCAATGGGCACCGCCTACACCACCGCCACCACCTTCACCTGGTAAGTTATTTGAAAGTTGATTTTATTGGCGTGTGTTTAGAGTGTATTTTCAGCTGGCAACATGCGAAGCTGATGATACATCGGCAGAGGACACCTTGCAACCTGCTCAAAAATGAACTTTATTACATGCATGTAATATAGTATGATTGTGCCTCTGTAATCAACTTTCTATAGGATACGACGATGGAACGCGACTGTTGCCCTTAACGCAGATTATTTTATAATCTAGCTAAGGCTCAGTGTGACTATTTCAGAAAACCCTTATGCCCAAGAATGTTTTAACTATTACCTACTTTATAAGTTAAAAACTATGTACTTAGTAACTTAAAATATTGTACACTTTTTGGCAATACAAATGTGGATTATTATATTGTTACAATGTGCTTAGACTAATTTTCAGCTGGCTACGACGTAAGGTTGAGACGAGACATCTGCATAGTAATGATATCACACTTGATAATGGACTTTGTTCTTAGAGTATGTTTTTATCTAAGTTAGCTGCAGTGAACGCCTGCCCCAGCACTGCTACTTTTACTTGGTTCGTTACTTGAAAATGGACCTTATTGTGTAGTTTTTGGAGTGTTTTCCACCATTTCTATGAGGCGATTGGCTAAAGACGATAAGGGCCGCACTTATTAATACTACACGAAGCTTGGATAGCCTCAGTGGGCACCGCCTAAATTGAACTTATGGTCAAATACTTAGAGTATATTTTCATCTGACTACGACGTGAAGCCAAGGTTTCTGTAGAAAATTCACCCTATGTTCATGTCTTTAAAGTATATTTACAGGTAAGTTAAGGTGAAAATGTCACTTGATAATTGACCTTATTGTGTGTTTCTTTGAGTGTTTTTAGCTGAAGTAGCTACAGTGGATGCCTACTATCCAGTTACTGCCGACTTCAATCTCGTATATCACTTGAAAAAAGACTTTTGGTGTTATGAAATTTGTGTTAATTTAATGTTGAATTTGGCGAATGCGATTTTGAATGGAATTAACTTTTGAATGTGAAACTCAGACAGTTGTCTATTCCTTAACTTTTGAATGTGAAACTCAGACAGTTGCCTATTCCCCAACGAATACCTTCAAGTAGTATGTCACTTAAAACTTAAACATATTTATGTGAAAATCTCTTGCGGCCAGTGTAAGTGTGACTTTAGGGTCGCGCCTCATAATGAAAAATACCTAAAGCTTGAGGAGTGAGAACATTTTATGCACGTTATTTATAGTCAATACTTGTGAGACTTCGACTATTGGTCACTCATCCTATTGGTCTATTGGAGCAAGTAAAGATTTAGGTTCTTTGCCTAAGCTCGCGTAATTTTTATTATTTTAAAGATTTTTTTTTATATTTATTTCGCTTCTGCGCCCCACGATGACATACTATTTCTCATGACTTTTTGGTATGTTATCTTATGAGATAAGCATTACGTTCTGAAACTTCTATAATTAAAATTGGATTTTATTCTGTTGTTTTTGAGTACATGATTCAAAATTTAATTTAGCAATTGCGATTTCGTATGCGTCTTGTGATAATATAACAAAAAAATATGTCTATCAGCTTATGATCGTTCCCAACAATTTACCCCAAATTGCAAGTTTCACACTTACCAGTACTTAATTATACATATAATGTCGGTGTTTAGATATAAAGACAAAGCTTTTCTTATTTTACTCCAGAGCAAAGCAAAATTTTATAACGTTTATGCCTGCCTCATTTGAAAGTTCTTTCATACCACTATTTTAATTGAAACACAATTAAAATGTCTATGCAATAGTGGTGTACAAGGGTAGTCTTTATTTTTATTATTATTCCATGATAGACTTATGTTATAAAAAATACTTATTTTTATTCCATTCTAGACCTTGTACCTCTTACAATAAAATACACTTTCCATGCATCTTTCTTTGGGATTCCTATTCACACATATCCCTCCTACGTTGTTTTCAGATGAGAGTTCTTCTGAGGAAGAGGACGAGCCCATGTCGGCGATAGACACGGCCATAGTCCGGCGGCAGATGACGGGCAAGCTGGTGGAAGGCGTTAATGGCATTTACGAAGGTAAACAATATAAATAAATAAATATTTCCAAAACACACACCACTTAGCGTAGCCCCAAAGTAGGCACTGTAAGGCTTGTGTTATGGGATACTAGGGTAACGGATAGAATGCATATACAGTACATATAAAAGTATATAAATATAGAAATACATATTAAACATCCATGACTGGAGTACAAATGCTCGTATTCATCAAACAAATATCTGCTCCCACCGGGATTCGAACCCGGGACCTCTCGAGACGGCAACACCTTGAAACCTGGCGTACAAACCACTCGGCCACGGAGGTCGTTAATATTAAGTGAAACGATAAAATTACTCATTGGAGGGTTACACCGTTTGGAACCGGTACCCAGCCAATGCGGCACTTTTTTAGGATCTGGTCGGGAAACGGGTATCAATGCAGGGTACCCGGGGTATAAGTGTCGGGTAATTCACTAAGGTAAAAATAATGACTAATATTAATTGAAAAACCATTTATTGAACAAGGAAAATGCAGACAATTATGTTATTCTCGATGAATATTCTCGAATATCTCGACAAATCGAAAATATTTTATTTATCATAGGATTTTTCATGATATTTTGTTGAAATGACTTTTGTTTGCTTCAGTGATAAAAGAAGAATCTCACAATGGTTTGATTCCGGACCACGCTCTACTTACAATGAAACCGAGAAAACGACGACCTGGGCTTGTTTCAGAGAGACCTATTAGTGTAAGTGTTTATTTATTTAAGGACAACCAACAAGAATATCCACACATAGTATAGTATAAACACATAGTATTACAATAGTGAGTAAGTGATAATTTAAGTAGTATCTTAATTATAGGCTGCCACGGCATGCATTTGTGACAATAATAACAGAGTGTGCATTCTTATCAAAATTATAAAAAGTATAAAAAAAAAATAAGTCTGCATTATATTCACAAACATCTTGTTTCACTCACATTGAACAGGCATCTGAACATATCCAATACGACAGAACAATTATGCAGTAAGTAACAGGAGATACTACAAAATTAATAACACAATGAATTTAGATTTACAAATTTGTTTATTGTTTTGTTATTATGATGTTTTTAAACAAGCAGAAATAATATCGCAATATATAAGAATGTGTCATTAAAATCAATAGATATAATATTCATGACTACTAGGTATCATAAGTTTTTGTAACCCAATTTAGTCTTTCACAACAAAACCTGTCAAAGCAAACTTTGTATTTATCTGGTTTTAATGATGCTATAGATTTATTGTAGTTTTATTTCTTAAGCATTTAACTGCTAGTTATTTAAATGTAAGAAAATTTTACTAGAAATAATCTCTGCGGTCCAGGAAGCAGACAGCAGACATGGCAATGCGAGGAAAGATGACTCTGCCTTGCAGCCTTAGGGATACTAGAAGAAATACGACACGACCCTTAAAAGTTCGTGGTCGCATAGTTAGTGCTTACAGCCGGATAGCAGATGGTGCGGGTTTGAGTCCCGTCTGCTTTCTGGACCGCGTGGATTTTTTCTAGTAGAATTTGATTTTGCCCTAAATTTATTATATAAAACACTTTTGATTCTGATGATTCTTTGATTATTTTGCAGCATCAGTCTATAATAATATAAATTAAAATTCGGGCTTCATACTCTATATTTAATATAAGACTAATTTTGTTCAATTATAGCCGCGAACTGAAGAAGACAAACTAGCTGGCCGTATGGAAGTGAAGCGGTATCGTCAGACAAAGGAGAAATTGCGCCGGCGTCGGGAGCGACTCTTGCAGCGAGTGAAACTTTTGGCCGCACGGAGAGCTAACAACGTGCCTACGCACGATCTCAAGGTTATATTCTTAAATAAATCAAGTTTCAACGGTATAGATGCAATAATTTACTTATTTATAACGTTTCGCAGCCTTATTACAGAATTATGATTTTATTATAGAAGGAATAAAACCATAATTCCGACGACGCATCCTGTAAAGGCTGCGAAACGTCATAATTAAATAAATCAGTGCATCTATACCGTTGAAACCTTTTTTATTTTATGAGTGGTGTGCGTGGAAACCTTACAAACGGTTATATTTTTTATCAATTGTTCGCACAATTATATAGTCGTCACTTACCCGAAATACGTCACTCCTCAGAACTACCTTACTTTGAATTCCTAAAACTATGTTATAGCTACTTTTTCATTTGCGTAGATAGCCTACAAAATCATCGCTGTCAACAGCACACGAATTCGTATACTTATACATCAAAAACTTTTTAAAATGACGGTTTGTTTCCCTCCTTATGCAGTTGGTCGATTTAGAAGAGACGGACTCCGAAAGCGACGCCGATTCCGAGGAAGCGGTTCCACTAGAGAAGGCCCCGGTCGCACGTTCTCCCTCTCCGCCTGTAGTAGTGGTGGAACCGCAACCTCCCCCGCCTTTGGACGAGGATGCCATCCGCCGCATCAAGGAACAATTCCGAAGCAATATGGCCAGGGTTATGGTCCACCATCTGAACCCTTACAGGCATTCTGAAGCGCGCGCCGGCAGAATTACTTGTACTGCGGATTTCAAGCATTTAGCTAGAAAGGTGAGTGTTACAAACGATTGAGGATTCTTAAAGGGATGTGATAAGATCTGTATCTTATCCCATCCCTTTAAGAATCCTCAACAATCAAACAAACTCAACAAGAATTCAACTAGGAAGGTGAGTAGATGAGCCATTGTTCTCTACGTGGACGGGATAAGATGCATTTCCGTACAATAACTTAGCGGATACGATGGCAGGTAGATCTGCAGCGCCTACTTTATTAAATCTGTCCAGCTTCTTTATGAATCTAGTCGGAAGGTGAGTACATTGGATATTGCGTCATATTTGCACGCGATGTAATTCAGGTCAGTGTTGAAACATAGCGGATATGATGCCAGAATCCCTTTTAGAAAACTGCGCAAATTTCCTTCCCCGCCCGTACTAGTGGTGGAACCGCAACCTCCCCTGTCTTCAGACGGGAACGCCATTCGCCACATCATCGAACAATTCCGAAGCATATTGGCGAGGGTTATGGTCCACCACCTGAATCCGACGCCATATTGTACTCGTATGCTACCATATTTTACCGGGAAAACGTATGACCGAGCGTGCGTGAGACGCAATCGAATTTTATTTCTTTTTTATTTAAAGAACATTAATGACATACGAACAAAAAGAATTCCTTTTAATGATGAGGTGAATAAAAAATCTTATTTATTTGCACTATTTTTAATATTTCGTCGATTTATGACGTCAGTGCACAGGCCAGTATATTTCGGAACAATTCACCAGTATAGCGTCGAATCATGACGTCATTAGCACTGGCCAGTATACTTGTATATATTACGGAATACACCCAATGTTTGTACAAGACAAGTATATCTACCATAATTATGTAGTAGATATTTTTTGTACCGCTTCCGTGCAGTTCATACGGTTCTAGGGTGTAAATACTCAGTGTCTGTGTATCTCATCAAATATTTATCAACTATTGCATTTCTCTAGCTTACACACTTCGTGATGCTGAAAGAGTTGAAGCACTGTCGCACCGTAGAAGAGCTCATAGTGACAGACTCTGTTCGGTCAAAAGCCAAGATGTTCGTGCGGAAGTATATGGCGAAATTCGGCCCGGTGTACAAGCGACCGCCCGAAGAGGCCGATTAGCAGGAAATGAGGCGATTTCGCCTTTCGTTACTCAACACTAAAATGAGTGAAGCGAGTAAACGAACCCGGAACGCCAAGAAGTGAGGTGGAACGTAGTGAAAACAGATTGGGAATTACTACTTAGTGCCAGTGAGAGGAACTAGAAATGCCTTAGTCGATTGACTGTGTTCAAGCCTTGATTAGTGACAAAGAAACCTGCCCCCGTAGCATGACCACCGCGATACCATATATAACGCGTTTATATCACGCTAAATTGTCAAATTACTATGGAGTTTGACAGTTAGACATGATAGAAAACGTGATACAATGTAAATTGTAGTGCTCATGCTACGGGGACCGGAGTGAAAAACGTGGTAATAGAGGTAAAATATTCTTCAACTTTTCAAATGAAATTACTATCAATAAGATAATACAAGCAAATATCAATATGAAAACATATAAGTTAATGCATGATATGGTCTGATAAAAACTTTGAACAAGCCTGGCCTGGTGAGAAAGACATTTGGTTATGTAAAAATGTAACTGTGTTCTCAATAATTTCTATTCTGCAAGCAGGATAGGATATATTTTTATATATCAGACATGAAGTTATCGAAAAGATCCTTCTTATAGATTCATAGTGTGACTAATCTATGGAATTAACTGTCAAAGCATTCACATGTTGTAATATTATCATACTAAAAGAAATAATTTTGCTGAACTGAGTTTGATAATGTTCAATAAATTTAAATATAACTTTTTTCCATTTATGTAGATAACCAAACGGATTGTGAGCAATTTGGTGATAATCGATATTAAAAGATTTTTAATATGATTTGAAAATAGTTTAAAAAGTACAATATAAAAACATGACCAACTATGTTTAGTAGGACATGTGGATGTTTCCTACATTTTTCATAAGGGATCGTCTATTTATCAAGTGAGTCTCTGAAGAGGGGAGGGATTCCCAAGGAGGAGGAGTTAAAACCATCATGTGATTAACCCCTGGTCTGTGTAGCACTCCACTTTGTTTTTTACGGAAGGAAAAAAAACGGACGATTTTTCTCTTATTATGCGAGTTCTTCTGTACATCCAGGCTTCATTTATGGCTTAACTCAATCCTGATTAGTTTCTCTACCAACTTATTTATATATAAGATGTCTAAATGAAAAACCCATTACTAAATATGATAAAACGCAAACTATGATAAATTAAATATGAAAATAAATTTCTCAACTCATGGCAGAAATAATCCACTAACACAGACGAACGGTTAATGGACAAGTCCTAAATAACATTTGCGATTTTTGCTCATTGCTTTATTGCTGGTCAGTTTTATGAACTAAATATATTTCCATTACTATACTGTTATTTTTTTGTATATATTTTACCAAAATAAAGAAAGCAATAAGTATTTGTGATTATGATTAATAATAGTTTTCATCTATAAAATAAAGAAAAAGATTTTTTTGATTTGTTCATGTAATATTTTATATTGTTTACATTCATAACAAGCACAACCATTGTTCTCTGTGCATTGCAAGAGCATTAAAAATAGGGTTACAATTAAACCAGATGAATTTTTAGACTTTTATCTAAAGTTTGTCCACATTCATCATTTGATTGAAGTTTCTTAAGGGCATCCCTGCCAATAACGCATTACCTGTAGGCCTATTCGCCAACTGCTTTGGACAGCTTTTGAAAAACATTGATGGATATTTCTCCCTTTAGTTACACTGTAAATGTCCAAAAAGTTATCGAATAGGCTGCCTGAGCTGTCATAATAATGTCATCTTTAACATATTTTCTACATATACTATCCATAGAGGTATAAGAATAGAGTAGGCGAGCTATAGACTTTACTACAAGTGGAAGTGTCATGCGCATTGGCAACCGTAAACATCATACTATTTCGATCTGATGCCATTGGATGCCATGCGTCACAAGAGAGAAGGATAGCTAGCCGTCTCTCATCTTCTTTCTCTTTCTAATAGACGGACACTTTAAGAACCGCTTTCCCCACTCTATTCTTATACCTCTATGATACTATAACTCTTGCCTTTCTTACTTTCTTGAAAGCTAAATGTTTTCAATAATTTTTACCTCCAGCAAGCATTTCTTGTATAGGTACCTTAATTTATTTCTCATCTCATTATATTACAAATCATGAAGTGTTAGTTTTTCTTCTCTGTTTTCAAAAGTAGCCAATACGATTAGTTGGCGTTATTCAATTATAGTTGCAATTGTTGACTACAGATTGCAAAGCATGTGTTCAGTCTGAAAGTCATAAACATAAAGATTCCTTCGAAATTATGATTAAGTTATTTAATTGATGTGTAAATATAGTAATATAAGTTGTAATAATTAGTTTTATACTCAAAGAAGTCCTCAGTCAGTCAGAAGTAGGAATGTATGATTGATTTATTATTAAGAATTAAGAAAGAATAGAGATATTGAAATATATTATTAAAGTCTTGTATTTTTGTTGTTGTAAAATATTACCTATATGTCGATGTATACGATCTCATGGCATTAGAGGTTATACAACTTCCTCATTTATATTTAAAAGCCTCGAATAATGTATTTTTATTAAAATGAGTTTTATTTAGAACAGTATTACATGCTTGTAAGCTAACAATTTAACTTGATATAGAATATTGACAATGCGACAGTCACATTGTTAATATTCTTATTAAGTTCACTTATGGTAAAACACAGGAGTAACGAGTAGGAACATTATATGGGATACTTGAACTAGCAAGAATGTCTATCTTTTATCGATTTGATTTTTAATGAGACTAAAGTATCGAATCATCAAAATTGTTGGTTCATAAATGTTTGAAATTTTGAAAGAAGTGATATGCAAATTAGTGTTTATAATATGACTGACTTGCGTTACCAAGTATATAGCTATTTTTGTGTCAATTCGGTATTCTAAATGTTTCTCAGAGATAGTATCATAAATATTATAGACTTAAAGGTTTAACTTACGCTGGCGCGGAGTCGTAGCGATGCGTCATGGTTAACCGTGTTTCGCATGTAGCAAAATCGTCTCTATTTTCCCAATATTAAGGTTTTCCCACTATAATAATAATCAATAATCAATAATCAAAATCATTTATTCAGTTTAGGCTGTTACAAGCACATATGAATGTCTAGAAGCTACGCCATCGGTTCGTAAATCTACGGCGGGAGACCTTGTACTGAGAAGAACCGGCAAGAAACTCAGCAAGGGCTGTTTTTTTCTCCCTGTTTTATCATTTACAGAGTCGTCAGGTTGAAAAATGACTTCAGAGATGATTCATGAAGTCACCCTTCATTACATAATGTGAAATTATACATTAATTGTACACCTGCATTTTGATTGCTGTGTCACACAGTATAAATACAAACAGAGTTATTTATAATAGGTGTAATTAAACATTTACATCTTAAATATCAAAGTAGTTAGGGCAGACTCATCTCCGCTGGCAGCACCCGTTCACGAGCATGACGCATGAACCAGCCATCGCTTCGCTCAACCATATTTTAGGGAACGTAACGACCCGCCTCACACGACACCACCGAAGAAACTTTTAAGAGAGCATGACTTATTAGACGCGCGTCTTCTTAATACCAGGTTCATGTTTTTTGCCCGTAGCAAATCATCTCTATATTTATGTTTTTATTTTTTAAGCATTAACATAACAATAATTGCTATTTATTCTTTCAAATGTTTAATACTTGTAAAAGTATTTCATTTGACATTTTGGGTTACCTACAATGCGAAGAGACGGCGCTGCCTTGCAGCCTAAGGCTAGAGAAAATTGGACACGGTAGCATAATCAGTGCATTCGGATAGCGAAGGGTGAAAATTGGCCGCGGTAGCATAATCAGTGCATTCGGATAGCGAAGGGTGCGGGTTCGAATCCCGTCTGCGGCCTGGTCCGCGTGGATTTTTTTCTAGTAAATTTTTCTTTAGATTTAATCATCTCTATTTTCTTACTGGTAAGGTAGGTTTTCCCGAGGCGAAAAACATGACGCTTGGACTTTGCGCTAGTTTGAGTTAAGCCCAATAGTGTTGGGGATTCTATTATTTATTAATGGCTAGTGCATACTTGCAGATGAGTATTTAAAATTTACAACAGTAATTTCTTATCATATAAAGAAAACTAGTTGGGGTTTTAATGAGTTTCGTCATTTCTTGATATAATTTTACATTGGCAAATTAAAAATGACCTACCCTGCCGCTGGTATAAGCTAGCCTTTTATTTATTATTTTTTGACACTTATTCAACAGAAACTAAAGTGGCAATTTAAAAATAATTAACTAAATTAAAATAAACCCTACCGAACGTTTGTTTGTGTGTAAATAATGTTGTACATAGTGCAGAATATTGTGTTCTGGTTGACATAGTGAATATTTTATTTTTTATCTGTAGAGTAGTTACATTTATGATGACGATGATACGGTTTTTTGGCATCAAAACTATTTCCCGATTATTATTGTGATTTCATGAAGGATGTGAATGAAGCCGTTGGAACAAATAAAAAGTTGATTATTTTACAAACTACTTTGTATTTTTTTTTATTCTTATAAATAATACAGAAGAATTGCTGAGGTTTAAAAGTTATTACAATATACTTTTACCCCTTATTAATAAACAAAGAAAAAGCTTAAACTACTAATGCCGTTATATTGTTTTAAACTTTCATGGTCACTAACATTATAGCTATTAACGGGATTGTTACCATGTACCTTGTTTACGGAGTTACTCCGTGATCATGGCGGTTGTAACAGTGCCGAAATATCGGGGACTCATAAAAAACAAGGTACATGGTAACAATCCCGTTAATAGCTATAATACTTATGCCGTGTTTAGTTATATCAATCTAATGCCACTTCGCATTCAATGAAGAAAGATAAAACATGGAGTAACTAATCCAAGCTTAGTTTTCCTATATTCATAAGGGGGTTATTGAAGATATAAACTCACTATTTATCTCGGGGTATAAATTTTTATGAGACAAAATTAAATCGATTATTTTTTTGCTAAATTCGTACGCAAACAGAAAAGGTGAATACGTTATTCAATATCTTACATTAACCTATGAAAGGATTCACTTGATGACAAAGTCTTATCCATACAATTTTTGTAAATACGAAAATAAATCGGTCTTACTGTTACGCTTTCTCGCTTAGACAGCTGAACGGATTTCAATGAATTTTTGATTTTTTTTTCTCAGAAAGATAATTTATCTATTCTGTATCCTAAAGGTTATCGTCTACCATGCGAGCCGCAGCGGTCCGCATCGCAACCCAAAAATCCGCTTCCTATAAATTTTCTATAAAACTGAGTCGAATACCCCGGCACGCCCCGCTTCTAGTCGACGCAGTTTCATACAAAATGTATAACAAGCGTATTTTTGCGTTTCGATGCGGCCCGCTGCGGCTGCTTAAATAAGCTACTTTTTTGTCGCGAATATATAAATCGAAAAAAGGTGCCAGGTATGAAAACTCAATTATTCTACTTATTACACGCGGGTAGAAGCTTTATTCTGCGAGTGCGATAAATACTGTGACGTTGTTAACGAAACTAAGTGATATTTTTTATACTGCAAGCGTATATAGGCTATGGTGACCGCTTAACATCAATCAATCTAAAATCATTTATTCAGTCTAGGCTGTTACAAGCACTTGTGAAGGTCAAGAAGCTGCGCCATCGGTTCGCAAAACTACGGCGGGAGACCTTGTACTGAGAAGAACCGATAAGGCGGGCGGACCATATGATTGTTAGTCACACTTATAACATAAAATAGTCACAGCGCAGTAAACGCAAACTCGCAGGATTTTACAGACCAAAAACTGCTTAAAGTTGTATTTGATGCTACATAACAGACGTTAACTTGATTCTCACTGTACTCGACTAGAATTGAGAAAAACAGTCATTACATAGTGTGAAATAAAGTCACTTTTCACATCTGTGTATTTCCGTCGCCAACTCCTGAACGACAACGGATTTTGATGCAGTTTTTACAGTCGTTGATTCGAGTTGATAATTTATTGAATGTTTTTCAAATTGCCTCAGTTAAAAACATTATTGGGCGGTGTTTTTAGATAAGTACCTAAACAACGAGATCTACGATTGCTGCTGTCTCCAGAACTCCTCCCTGTTTTCCAAAAATCTGATCGCTTCTTCAGCTTGCTTGGTCACAATATCATTCTTCTTGTCTGCGATGGCTAAATCAGGGTTCTTCAGCAAATTCTCCAGATACAACTTGTCAGACATCAGCTGACCCAAAACCGGCTTTTGGGACTTTGAAGAAGACCTGCGTTTCGGTGCTGGTTTCTTGACGGGTTTTTCACCAATGGTGTTTTCTATTGCCTCCTAAAAATTAAGAAGGATTTCTGATTGATTTAAAACTGGTTTTCAAAATGTCGCTTATCCTGAGGTCAGGAGTTCAAATCCCAGTAAATGTAAATTATTGTATACTAACTGCTAACTTTAGATTTTTGAGAATCCCACAGCAACTTAACATTTTGCGGGATAAAAAGTATTCTATGTCTCAATCAAGGTCATAAACTATGTGCGTACCAAATTTCATTCAAATCCGTTCAGCCGTATTTGCGTAATTGAGTAACAAACATACAGACACAAACTTACAAACTTTCACATTATAATAATATTAGTAGGATTTCTGTGTCTTTAATATTTATTAGTTAGGTAGTAAAAATTCTATTCGGCTAAGCTAACCAAGGTCTCAACCGCTTTTTATCCGGGCGAATGTAACCGAAGACGACGCAGAAGACGCTTCGAGTCCAGCCCGACCGAAAACTTTTTCACAGCAACACAGATTTTTTCCGAATAAAGTATTACTTTAAGTAAAAAAATATGTATTATCAATAACGTTTAGTTTTACCTGGGCTTTCTGCACTCCTAGCCTGAATTCTATGAGGTCAGGTCTCGCGCGCAGTCCTCTGTGATAGAATACGAGGCTCATCTCGAACTCGCCGCAGTAGTAAAGTGCTTCAGCCTTCTGAAGCAGTGCTTTGGCGTGCTTAGGGTCCAAGCCAAGCGCTGTTTCGGCGTCGGCCAGCGCCTGTCGAGGTTCGCCCAACAGCAAATAGCATTTGCTGCGCGACACGTATGCAGCTTTTTCCTCGGGAGCGAGTTCTACTGCCTGAAAAATTACATTTGTCACTTAAATTAACTTATTACTTACTTATTTTTATAAATCAAATCAATATTTGTACTCCTTGACAAAAAAATCTTAATACTTAAATCTAACATATACTTTTCTGAAAACTGTATCAAAATCGATTTATCCAAAGAGAATCGTAGAAAAACATACAGGTCAATCTGAAAACTTCCTTTCTAAAGGTTTTTTGAAGTCTGTTAAAAATAAACCTGGCAGGATGTGTTTACGCTCCAATTACGTTCACTTGTTTTACTAGCAAATTCAATCTTAAACGATGTAGGTAAGTTATGTAAGCAACAAACGATTGTCTGCAAAACTTTAAAAAAATAAGGCACTTGATTATCACGCGGATTTATTTTTTTCACCAAAAAAGTTTTTAACGATCTACTTACTTATATTGTGAAAGTAGGTATAAACCAAGCACAAATATGAAAGGTAACATCACCTTGTCGACAAAGGACACTGCGTTTCTATACCGCTCCCTCATCATTTCAGCGCGAGCCAGCGCCAGGAGTGTGCCCGCGTCAGCTTCCACCGGCAGCTGGAGAGCAGTGCTCCTCTCCGCCTTGTCCTTCTGACTCAGAGACTGCTTGATATCCTTGGACCCCATCACCACGGCCGCGGCACGGTCTTTATCCGTGTACAATTCCTCTTCCCGCCGTCTTTTCTCCTTTTTCGGTTTACGTTCTTTCCTCTTTCGTAGCTTAGATGACTTTTGTTCTGCATGTAGATATTTGTCGTCGTCAACATCTTCAACGTGTTTATCCGCCGACTGTGGTACTCTCTTGCTGATGGAAGCTTTGGGAGTCGGCGCTTCCTCCTCTTCTTCAGTGACGCCCACTCTAACGAAGCTTTGAAGGAATTCCGCATCTTTCGTCAAGCCTAGGATGTTGCGGGCTTGTTCTATGGCGTTTTGCTCGCTTCCCATTATTGGCGAGTGTGTTATTTTGATGGCGAAGTGCCTCGTTATGTAACGCTTAGGTGTGGGAATAGGCGTCGGTATCGACGCCCATGCTCTGGTCTCTATGGTGACCGTGAGTGTTTTCGCACCTACTTACCATTCAGTCTCACACAAGAGCTGTGTGCAGTGTTACATATTTCCGTATGTGACCCATTTAAATCGTTTTTGAAAAGTCTATTTCAAAAACAGGCGAATGTTATTAAACATAACACATTACATAAGTATTCACGGTGTGTTAGGCTATACTTAGCTTACTGACTTGTTTACAATTTTATTCAGATATTCTCTAGCAATAGTTCTCAATAGTCTAGTTTTACTAGCTTCCTTTGTGGACTTCAACTCTTTCTCGTTTCTTACTTAATAAAAGTAGTTACATATTTTCCATTTTTAATTTAGCATATCTTGATTGTGATTTAGGTTACATAGAAACAAAGGATATAAAAGCTTATATTTAGATACTTTATTGAATAAACATGGTGATCTCTCCCAAAGGGGATCCCATGTGACGACCTCCGTGGCCGAGTGGTTTATACGCCGGGTTTCAAGGTGTGGCCATCTCGAGAGGTCCCGGGTTCGAATCCCGGTGGGGGCAGATGTTTGTGTGATGAATACGAGCATTTGTACTCCAGTCATGGATGTTTAATATGTATTTCTATATAAATATACTTATATATGTATCAATTTATGTATTCTATCCGTTACCCTAGCATCTCATAACACAAGCCTACAGTGCTTACTTTGGGGCTAGGCTAATTGGTGTGAGTGTTGGAAATATTTATTATTTATTTATTTATGTTCCGCACTTAACAGCTGAAAAAAAAATTCGCAGTTTTTTTAGCGTAGGTATAATCTTATGCCGGATGCGCTGACTTGCAAGATGCTAGGCGTAAGGTACGTTAGATGGTGTGCCCCTTAAGGGCGCCAGTGTCTGTAGAAAGAGGTTTTACCAGCATTAACAAAAAAGAAAGTACCTTATCAAGAGCTATCAGCGCACGTTCGTAGTATCCGTTCTGGAAGTGGCCCACGGACTCATCTCGATACTTCTTCGACTCCACTGGGTTGCTGACCTGCTGCTCGGGCTCTTTGTTGCGTCCCATGTCACTAACTGCTTCTGAATGAAAAGAATAAAATACCTTTAATGATATATATAATTGTTATAAATTTTGTTATAAGAAGTAACGATTTAAATACAAACCTACCATCCCGGTTTACGGTAGATTTTTCAATATAAATCTGTCATACTCGTAGAAAAATATTCCTTGAAATTACAAATACAAAAAAATATCATACAATGTTGAAACGAGTATAATTTATGGAAGTTGTAAATAATTGCACACTGTTATCCTATACTTTAACATTAATTGTCAACAAATGGTCGTAAAATGAAACACGATTAAACGGGCTTAAGTTGCGTCTTTTTTATTACTTTTTACGGTTTCGTACCTCAAAAGGAAAAGACGGAATCCTTATAAGATCATTTTGTTGTCCGTCCATCTGTCAAGACCGTTTTTCTTAGGGACGCGTAGAGATATCACTGAAATTCATACCTAATACTCATGTCTACTGTCGCTTGGAGCTGTGAAAAAATAAAACTTCTAAGCCAAAGCACTCAAAAGATACACCCGTTTATGCCGCAAATTTCCGCAAATTTTCGAAACTCCTACGGGAATCCAAACCTACAGGGTACTTCCCGTGAACTTGGAATCTTGAAATTTGGTACGAAGTAACGTCTTATAGTACACATAAAGGAAAAATTGCGAAAACCATAAATTTTTAGTTACATCATATAATAAAAAATATTTTTGAAATTTTTTAAGTTACTACCTCTTTTTTCTCATGAAGAGGTATTAAATTGAGTTTGTACGGAACCCTCGGTGCGCGAGTCTTTTTCAGGACGTGAAACTCAAACTAAAAAGTTATTTTCAGGACGCATCGTCAGAATTAAAATAATAACACCATAATTTTGACGACGCATCCTGAAAAGGATGCGAAACGTCAAAAAAGTAATAAAAGACGCATTTTAAACTGATTTAAGCTTGTTGCATTTAATGAGTGGAATGAAAACTTTTATAGAAACAGATAAATTATTCAAATATATAAAATTGGGTCGAAAGACCAAATATGTATAACAGATGAGCCAAATTGAAATAATGCTTATGTAGTTTCGGTGAACCTTCAATAAAAATATAGAGAAATAAGTTTTTATACTTACTTAAAAACAAAAAAAATATTATGAGAATCAATAATTCAGCCTTCGTGACCGGAGATTTTGTAGTTTTAAGAGATCTCACACAACTAACACAAGGCGGGAATAGTACATTGTTCACCAAGAGGAGAAAGTGACCGATTACCAACGAGGGTGTAGTTTTAGTACTTTCGAGGGATACATAGTGCTTTATACTTTACCTACGAGGAAATAAAATACTAATACTATTTATATCTATATCATCATCATCAGACTATTAATGTCCCCACTGCTGGGGCACAGGCCTTCCCTATGGATGGAATAGGGAGATTGGGCAATGACCCGCCACCAGTGCGGATTGGCGGGTGCTAACGACTGCAGATGCAACCGGGACCAACGGCTTAACGTGCCTTCCGAAGCACGAAGGAACTCGAGATAGAAGATTTTGGGTCACCCATCCAATGACCGACCACTGCGAAAGTTGCTTAACTTCAACTATGGCAGCCGAACGCGCTAACCACCTGCGCCATCTAGCTCTTCGACATTATATCTATATATTACAACAGTATTATATTATGTAATATAATACTGTCGTAATATCGCTGGTGATATTGTTATATCGTTGTCTTGGGAGTGGAACAAAGAATCCCTATATAACTACACCAGCCCCTTAACATGAGAAGAGCAATATTATATAGGTATAGCTCGTTTTTTACCACCATTTATACCTATTATTGCATTCTTATCTTACGGGTGCTACACTACTACATAAGTACTACAGAAGACCACAGTAAAATAACTCTACATTATGTTGGAGTTGTGTTTTAGTCGATGAGTAGGTTCCAGGGGTCCACGGGAATTGGGCAACGACGCGTGTCGCCGACCAGTCTTACGCACGGGAGGAGGACCACGACCAAGGGGACGAGCGGCCGCGGCGTCGGACACTTTCTTACGCTGCACGCACAGTATTGCAAGGGGCCCAACCGCGTTTTTTTATAGATTGGTTCGACAAATGACTCCACCCCACCTGATGTTGAGAGAAGGTGAAGTCCAGACGCGAAGATAGCTGATACAGCAGTTCTACCTGCCACACCAGCCATCCTCACCCTGCTGGCCTGCATGTTGCTTCTTCACGCCTCTTTTAAAGGATTCCAGGTTATAAGGGGGAGGGAATACGTGAGCGGGCAGAGCATTTCATTTACGGATAGTGCGACAAAGAAATGAGTCCCAAATTTCTTTGTACTCGTTGGAATTTTGGCCACAGTTAGACAACGTAGGCCAGCGCGCGTGGTCCTCTGAAGGAAAGGGGAAGGTGGAATAAGAGAGAATAACTCCTCAGAACACTCGCCGTGGTACAGACGATGGAACGCGCTTAGTGACGCCACGTCAAGGCGTAATTGAAGAGGCTCGAGGTGTTTAGTCACCTCCTCTTCGCCTATGACACGGTAATATTACTGTGCCTATGATGCGGATCGCGCGCCGCTCGCTGTAACCTATCCAAAGCATCAAAACGCCATCAATGTAAAAACGCCGCATCTTGTTTAGGACTCCGGGGTTGCGTGAAGCTGTTTTGATCACGGTTTCGATGTAGTCCTTTGGATTCAGGTCTGAGCGAACTTCCATACCGAGCATGGTAATGTTGCTCTGTAGAGCCAGTGTTGTGCCTTGAAGAGAGGGAAGGGGAAGGAATATCTGTTTTTGTTAACAATATACCAGTTTCCACCTATGTTTACAGTCCACGTCCTTTAAAGTCCCTATTTATGACCCTTCTCATTGGTCCTTTGATTAGGTTTGTTGAAAATATATCGATGTATCGATATATCGATATTTTTTGTTGGTTATATCGATATTTTTAGCCGATATATTTTAATTCGATATATCGATACAAAATAACCAATATAGAAATTCGTATCAAAAACGATATTTTTTTAATTATTAGCGGCATATCACGATCTAACTAAATTCGTATCTGGAAAAATCGTAACTGGGTCTCAGATAAATGATATTCAACATATCTATGATCTGTGCTATTATGTGGGACTCCTCCTCCCTCATATCCCGCCCACCCGCTCAGCCAAACTGGCTCAGCGGCTAATAAAGAACCGAGGTATCTAAAGTTATAAAATCTGTGAAACGTTATAAAAAAAGACACCTTACATGTTTGCTGCATGCAATGCTCTATTCGAGTTTTCAAAGCAATTTATGTCCTCGTTGCAAAATGCAAATAAAAATAGCATTCAAAGTGCTGCTGTAAGAAAATATAAGTTCACTTTAAATCCATAATTATTTAAATGATCGAAATGTCTGGTAATAAAAGAACATAAACAGATTATAAAATAGTCAAGCCCCTGATAAAACTGCTTATCTAATACATAAAATGAGGAATATTTTAAAGAGCACTTTTTACAAGTGCGAAAGGACCAAGCGTAAACATTTTTTTTATAGATGGTTCGATAAATGTCTCCACCCCACCTGAATTTAAGTGACGGTGAAGTCCAGACGCGAAGATAGCTGATAGATACAGCACTTCTACCTGTCATACCAGCCATCCTCACCCTGCCGGCATGCATGTTGCATCTTCTCGCCTCTTTTAAAGGATCCCATATTGTAAGAGGGAGGGAACACGTGAGCGGGCAGAGCATTCCATTTTTAGACGACCTCCGTGGCCGAGTGGTTTGTACGCCGGGTTTCATGGTGTCGCCGACTCGAGAGGTCCCGGGTTCGAATCCCGGTGGGGGCAGATGTTTGTGTGATGAATACGAGCATTTGTACTCCAGTCACGGATGTTTAATATGTTTTTCTATATAAATATACTTATATATGTACAGTATATGTATTCTATAAGTTACCCTAGCATCCCATAACACAAGCCTTATAGTGCTTACTTTGGGGCTTGGCTAATTGGTGTGAATGTTGGAAATATTTATTTATTTATTTATATAATTATTTACGGATAGTGCGACCTATATTGGAGAGGCCTATGTCCAGCAGTGGACTAAGATAGGCTGTTGATGATGATGATGTTGATGATAGTGCGACAAAGAAATGAGTCAACAAACTTCTTTGATATAATATATAAATACACTTCTGGACACATCTATTGGTCCACCTTAGAGTTTAGGTTTCGATGGCCCCTACCGAAATATGATTGCTAGATTGAACAAAAACTGTTGATGCAGTTTTAAACCTGATACATTTTACCATCTTTTTCGATGGTATTGTTTTAAATTTGAATTCAGAATACCATACGACATGGAGCTACGCCTAACAAGTCGGATATGCGCCTTGTTAAAGGCAATTGATTTTTGAATAAAAATCATGTTTTATCAAATAAAGGTTTAATTTAATAACGCGTGTTGCCTCCATGGGCATCTACCATAGCTCTCATACGATTAGGCACAGAGTTTATCAACCGCTCTATGAAATTTTGAGGGATCATCTCCCATTCCTCTTCTATGGCAGTTTTCAACTCCTGCATCGTCTGGGCAACTGGCTGACGAGCCCTAACACGTCTTTTTAGCTCGTCCCACATGTGCTCAATGGGGTTCATGACTGGGCTTCTGGCTGGCAGTCCATAACTGTGATGTTCACATCCCGAAGATATTCCCTGACGATGCCGGCCGCATGGGCTCTTGCATTATCATGCATAAAAAGGAAATTTGGGCCCAGATAGTCCGCATATGGTATCACGTGAGGTTCTAAGCACTCACGAATGTACCTTTCAGCATTTAATGTTGGCAGCCGCGGTCCTGTAACAACCTCAAGTTGAGTTTTGCCGCTCGCGGATATACCGCCCCAGACAGTCCATGAGCCACCGCCATAAGCAACCCTCTCTTCAAAGCAGCATTGTGTGAAACGCTCTCCCTTACGTCAGTAGACCTTCTTCCTTCCATCATTGCCATGTAACACAATTTTAGACTCATCAG